AAAAATTTTTTTAAAAAAAAAAACGTTAAAAGAAACTAGTTTGATTGAAAAATGATTAACATTATTCCTACCAAAAAAAAAAAAAATGATTAACATTATTAAGAATCTATAAGCCAAAACTAAACTCAAAACTATATTTTCAACATTTTGCGTAGTATTTATCTATTTCTTTCGTATGTAATAATCAACTAATTAAAACCTTTATTAAAAAATATACTATCATATGATGACCGATTAAATTACCTCGGATAAGGACTGTTTTTGACTGCTTTTTGGCCGTACTTTCTCCAACGATAGCCGTCTTCGAGATGATCAATTTCGGTCTTAGTCATAAACGAGACTCGTGGCTCTTTTTTCTTCTCCTCTTTCTTCTTTGTTTTAACTCTGATGAACCATATGTTACTCATTAAATTAATTCTTAATTAGGTTGGTCCTCTCTAATTAATGGCACCGTACCGTACATTTGACTTCGATTCATTGAACTTTACTATTAAATAATGATAAGCATCAAATGATTGTTAGGACATAGGACACAAGAAATACAATAATCTTAAGGTGATAGTCTGCCAAAAAAAAAAAAAAATGGGACACGTCTTTTTGTTTAAGTGGTTTCTTTAGGATAAGATTTATACATCAATAATTATAGGTACGAACAATGGAATTAATAATCTTTGAAAAAAAAATATCAGGACAGAAGCCCAATACTCAGTACTATTAAATTATGTATTACAGAAAAATATAAACGAAATAACTTGAGTTGTCATTCTTTCAGTTATGGAACTTAAATTCCACCTAAACATATAAAAGTTTATTATCAAAAAAAACATAAAAATGTAAAATTGAATATTCACAAGTAAATATATAGTTTCATCAAAATTAAGATCTCGATCGTGTTTTCTTAAAGATGTCATTTTATGTCATGCAAACTCTATACTTTATGTTTGGGTAAAATACATTGAAATCAATATTGTTCAGTTAGTTTACAAGAAAATAATTTTCAAGAAAACGATTTTTGATTAATTTGGGCCTGAAAGTGAAAAACAAAAAATGGGTTTTTTCTCTTCACGTAATTAAGATTAGAGAAGAATAGAAGATTTTTTTTTTTTTGGTGAATAAAAACAAAGAAAAAAGTTAAGTTTGATCATTCATGTGAATTCTAAATATATCTTTTTTGCTTAACTAAATAATTTAATTAGGAAAACACTTATGAAACTTACACTTTCTGAGAACGTTGATCATCTTCTCCCCCATCGCCAGCTTCTCTTTTCCTCTGGATCTTGCCGGAATCTTCGCCGGGATGATGATCGGCCTCACTTGAAGAAGGAGATGGCGAAACCCTAACTTCACTCTTAATGGTTGCACAACCTCCACCGACAACTTCATGACTCTTATGACTACTATTATAATTATAAGCATTATACAAACCGTTCTCTTGATCGATGGAAGGATTAAAAAAGTCGGACGAAGATGGAGAAAGCTCGAAACCCAACTCGAACGCTCCTTGAGGACTCAAGTTCTTCGAGGGTAGATCAAAACCGGCTTGTGATGATGAGATCATGTTTGCATTATAAGTAGATGGACCAGAAACGTAAGGGAGATTAATCATATTTTGGTTATTGGTATTGAAATGATTATACGATGAAGTGTAGTGATAGTTGTTAAGATCTTTGATTTCATGAGACATGACGAAGAACAAAGAGAAAAATCTTAAACCAAAAAGAAAGAAAAAGAAAATGACAAAGAGAGGAGCGTGAAGAAGAAGAAGAAAGAAAGAAGAACTTTTTACACGTTAATGAATTTTTTAGTCGGTCTAAATTTGGTGTTAAGACTTTTGGGTCTTCTCTTATTTATGCCTTTTGAAAAAATATATATTATTTAATATGTCTTGTTGAATAAATATAGTAAATGGCGTTTTAGCATACTTTTTTTGGTCTTAGATATATACAAATCTAAGGAATGAAAGAGTGTATATTGAGGTGTGAATGATTCAAAAAGAGTTTTGGGGTTTGAATGACTTTTTCTATATTAAAAATATTGATAACTTTTATAAAGTTGAGTTGACAAAAAGCATTTTACCTCCCAAATCGAGAGTTACAAAAAGTGGCCTCGAGTGAGGAAACATATACTTCTTGTCATTTTGTTTCTTAAACGTTTAATGTGAACATGAACATAAAAGAAAAAGCCATTTTACGGTTTTTACCATAAATAAACGTCTTTTAAGTCCCTATTCATTTTCTGACTCTGACCCAAGAAAAAAAAAATCATGAAATAACTTTTTTACAAATTTGGGTTATTTTAGTATACTACTTTCTTTTGGACCTTATAGTAAGACCTGAAAAGTTGATATTGACCATTTCAAAGATGTTCGGGTTCTTTTTGGGTAATACTTTTTTTTGGGCCCTTAAAATAAGAACTTAAAAGTTAATATTTACCATTTTTTAGATTTGGAATAAGGTGGGAACAAGGTTTGTTGTGGAACAAGGCGATGATGATAACTAAGGGTTAACCGGTAACCGGAAATAGTGAGTCGTCGGTCATCTTTGTGTGAAAAGCAAGAGCCAAGTCAAAGTGTCAAAGAGAATTGTGGGGTTATTAGTATGACACGTGTAATTATTGGCACCGGCATTTGACCGTAACCGACACATGACCTGGCACGTGGTGGACTACTGGATTGTGTTCTTTCTCAAACCCTAATAAATATCAGACGTTAATTTATTAATTTAAGATTTAAAGTCAAGGTGCAAATGTGACAAATATTATACATTACTTTAAATTTCCGTATAATTTCGACGTTTGTTAGAACCTTTACATGAAAATTTATAAAAAAATTTGTAATGATTTTTATGATAATATACAAAATTAAATTTCCCAAACGATGCCTAAATCCTTATTATAAATTGTATGGGATTAAACTTGGTTTAATAACGAGGACGTTAAAAGAAAAAAGAATTATATGAATTATTTTGCATTATGATCGTCTATTCTAGTATAGGTTTAAATTTTATCTGTTGAGAAGAGAGTTATGATCGAAATACTGACGATTTACCAACGTCATCACGATTCACGCTGCAGAATCTATTTTCAGTTTTCACATTAGAACTTTCCTCAAGCACAAAAAAAATCATTAAAAATAATTAATATGGTCAGATCTATTATAGATATCTTTATTTGTAATGATGTTTTTAATATTTAATACAATTTTTTGTCAACAAGACAAAATAATTTTATTTCGGGAAAAAAAATAAATAAGAAAAGAGAGACATGATTCCTAACCGAAAAAGACAATGAGAAGTGAACATAAATTGACTTTACATAGGTACGGTCAAAAGAAATTTATGCTTCTTTTTATAGATTTAACACCTATATAATAATTGTATACCTTATATATAAATTGCTCTCGTGTTTGGATTTTTAGTTCAAATTACGAATTACAGCTTCATGCATGTAGCTCTGACCAAAAAGAAAAGAAAAGCATCATGCATGTAGCTGATAGATAGGTATAAGAATTAGAGAAAAAAAGGATAGATATAAAAATTTAAATTGCAATTCTAATGTTTTCGAAAAAGTGCATAATGATGAAAAACGTTTTTGAGACAAAACAACTATTCCACATTCTCGATGGCCCAAAGAAAGCAACTTAGTCATGATTCTCAAAGGACCAAAACTTCAATAATTACGAGTAGTTGTTTGAATGAATGCAATGCACCGAACAATTAATCCATTCACGAATTAGACCATTTTATTTTTCCGTTGTAGATTTGTTTTCCCTGACAATATAAATGGTTCAAGGTTTTAAACAGAAAATAACAATATAAGGAAGTGTATTTTTTTGTTATATTGATATCATCGCGAGCCAAAACATATGAATGGATTTACAACCCTCAAATGTATAGTCTGTTTTATCTGTTTTTATTTCTTACGACTGAATATTAATTTTCTTTTTCATAGTATAATTGTATAAAAACTATAGAAGCAGAAGTGTAATAGTATATTTTATACACTTGTTGTTTACTGCTGAATTTGCAGTAACCTTTGTGTCTAATCTCGCATCTACATATCCAAGAGGTTTAGTATAATTTCAGTTCTGTAAATTACCAAAGTAAGCAGTCAACCTCTCTGTCTATAAGAGATTAAAAAATATATGTTCGCAGTTGAAATTTACGACCAATTTCGTGGAATATGTACGGATGTACCAAACTTCTTCAAGATTTTTTGTTGTTGAGTAGGATTTTTCTTTCACTATCTTTAAAGATGCACAAATTTGTTTGAAACTTTGAATAATTGTCATGGTTGATAAATCATGATATATATTATTTCCTCCATCCCATAAAGATAGATTTTTTAAAATTTTATATTTTTTAAGAAATAATGTATAATGATAATTTTAACCTTTCAACCTTTTAACATATTTTAAAGAGTATATTATTTATTGTTGTTTAATAAGGGTAAAATAGATAAACTATTTTAAATTTGACATTGGAAACACAAAACTTTTATCTTTGTAAGATAAATTTTTTATGATGGAGGGAGTATTTGAAACCATAAAAATCTATTAAATGCTAAAATAAATAGATTCTATAAGATATGAGAAATTGAGAATGAGATTGTTTTTTTTTTGGTAAGATTTGAGAATGAGATTGTTGACCTATGCCATAGTTGAACAGGTTTCTTGATAGGTATGTGCAACATAGGAAAAATAAAAAAAAAATCTCAAAATTGATGAAATATATAAATAAATCCACTAAAACTCTGTTTCACAAAGAGTGTCATTTTACATTTTTTCACACATATTAAAAAAACTATTAAAATTTCTATTATACCTTTATTAATACACTAAACAAAATTAGCTTTCTTATTAATGCATTAAAGAAATAGGGTTAAAAGTGGATTTTTATTCAATATTTTGTATTGAAAATATAAAACGACACTTTTTGTGAAACAAAGATAAAACCTTAAAACGACACTCTTTGTGAAACGGAGAGAGTAAAACTTAATGTAATGGAGTAACAAATATCAAATCTTTTTTTGTTTTTGTTAAAAACAAATATCAAATCTTTACATTTACATTAACACTCTTTCTAAAAAAATTCAAACCGGAGTCAATCATAATACATACACATGAAAGAAACATATAACTCTTGATCCTAGCCATCAAACCGAAATCCACCAAAGGAAACACGAAAATCAAACTTCTTTATGCTCATCATCATCTTGGGAGAGAAGGTGACAATTTCTGCCATAAGAAAAGGGCAAGAAAAAACAAATTTTAAAATGGATCAACTAAACCGAAAACCACGGATTTCCCATTGTCATCTTCAATCATATGCATGTTGTAATGTGTGTTAACTAAACAGAAATCGCAGTGGATAAATCACCGGTGCTGGTTTGCATGAGATCTAAAAGAGTGATCGTTCCACTATCGGTTTGGTCAAGCTTGTTAAACTGGTTACAAATTTGTATAGTATCCTTTGAGTTATTTTCTCCATCTGCTCTAGTTTGTATATTGTATACTCTGCTAAACTGCAAAAAAGAAAAAGCATTGTAGAAGATTCATTGATACTGATAAAACCAAGAGAATCAGTGGACCAAAGATCACATGATATTAGTCAATGCCATTCAGGGCATCTAGTAGATCACAACCGTTATTTATACAAATCAACTAGTTCAAAAACTTGGAAAAGATAAAATGGTGGGAATTGAGGGAAATTTCAAAACTTTTTTTTTTTTTTTGGATTCCAGGAGGTTTTGGGCCAAAACCAGTAATTTCCGCAGGCCCGAAACCACAACAAGTAATATTAGTTTCGTCCAAAGCAAAACAAAATCTTTGAATATGAGTCCTCGTTCAAGAAAACACACATAAACCCGAGAATCCAACAGATTCAAGAATCTTAGAAACTAATGATTTCTAGAACTTGAACTAGAATGAAGCTTGAGGACTAACATCAAAAAACAAAACTTTTGGTGCATGAATCAAAGCATACCTCAAGCAACCATTGTTGTCAATATCTACAGCAAAGAACTCAGAGATGGTCATGGTTTCACCAAGCACTTTCTTGGCCCGCTCTCTATTCCTCTTATCAACTCTTGCTTTAGCCAACTAAAAAAACGCTCGAGCAATAGCTAAAGTAGACACAAGCAACCAAATCGCAGCAAGAAGCGTACCGGGCCATGTATTAAAAGCCTGGTCACCATACCCAACTGTTGTAACCATCATAACCGAGAAATAAAACGAATCCAAGCACCCGATTTTCTCAACAAAATGCACAATTAAAACTCCACACATTGCTACAATACAAAAGTACAGAGCAACAACAACAAGATGAGTCTGATTCACATTGTCGTTATCTCGATTCAGCCAATAGATAAGCACACCTACAGAGAGATACACAACGAACAAAGCAAGAGCTTGTCTTACAATGGATTTCGAATTTGATTGCTCTGTTCTCTGATCATTTGGGTGAGATACATCGTTGATTGCAGCCATAGCAGGAGCTGTTTTAGACCGGTGGAGATTGTGGGAAGATTTAGGTTTCCGGGTTAGTTTATTAGGTCCCGTTGGTGGGATAAGGAGGTCTGTGGAATTGGAAGATGACGGAGAGAATGGGCCGAAGAGTAATCGGTTTTTGAATTCTGATGGAGTCATTGGCATGACGTCGTTGTTCTCCGGTAATGGTAACAGGTATTGGTGTAATGGGTCATTGTTGTTATCGCCGTTACCGTCGTGAGCCATCTGGGTTTTCGCCGGGAAACTGGAAAGTTGAGAGATTTTTAAACTAGGGTGGTTTTCCGACATATAATGTTTTGTTTTTTTTTTTTTTTTTTTTACTACAATGTGTCTTATTTTATTGAGATGATTAATAATTGTCGTGAAATAAAATATTGAGATGATTGATACATGATGGTTTATTGTTGACTTGTAGCTAGTATTTGTTTAACGAACCCTATGTTGCTGGTAAATTATACTTTGGAACCACAATCTATCAATAATATATATAACTACCTAAAGATCCATGCTAGTGCTATGCACAACTTAAATTATATACTTCAAATTTATTTTATTAAAATTAATATTTTTGACATATATAATATGAATAGATAATCAATAAAAAGTTATAAATACTGTATATTGGCTTTTTTTTTACAAACAATACAAGTACTTAAGAATATATAGTGAGTAACAAATAAAAATCAAACCTTTACATTAACATTTACTCTTTTTCGAAATTTGTTAACAAATTTAATCAAATTGAAGTATCAATCAGAAATTAGGAATATACATATGAACGAAACCCTTTAACTATATACTCTAGATCCAAGCCATCAAACCAAAGTCCACCAAAGGAAACATGAAAATCAAATTTATTCATACTCATCATCATCTTGGTCCTTGGAGGAGAAGGTGACACATTCTATTCCTTCATACTCATCACCATCTTGGTTCAACTAAACTGTAAACCACATATTTTTCATTGTCATCTTCAATCATGTTGTACTGTGTGTTCTTAAATAGAAGTTGCAGTGGATAAATCGTCGGTGCTGGTTTCCAAGAGATCTAAAAGTGTAATCCTTCCACTATTGGTTCGGTCAAGCTTGTCAAACTGGAAACCGATCGGGTTAATGTCCTTATCGGTTATTTTCTCCATCTTCTTTAGTTTGTATATCACAAACTCTGCTTTACTGCAAAATGAAAAAGCTTATTAGAAGATTTAAACTACTGGTCATGATACTGGTCAAAGATGTTCAGGGCATCTTAGATAATAGACCAGAACCGTGATTTAGGTAATTAGGGTATACAAATCTACTAAAATCTTAAGCCAATGGAATTGAATCTTATGAGAGAAATGCTTCGATATCGAGTAATCAACTAGTTCAAGAACTTGGAAAGAATAAACAGTGCAAGTGTTGGATATTTCAAAATGTGAACACACAATGGATGTGGATCCTTGAGTTCAAGAAAGCACGTTTAAACACGATAATCCAAAATTTGTGAAGCTAATGATTCCAAGAACCTGGAAACAATAATGAAACTTGAGGACTAATATCAAAGAACTACACTTTTGATGCATTCTAAGGAATGGGAATGCATTAAACGTAATCAACGGGAAAATCATATAAGGAAATGGGTGAAAAGCATGGGAATTGATAAGCAAAATAAGTGAATAACAAAGACGAATGAGAGTAGTTTTCTTAAGCTAATGGAATTGAATCTAACTAAAGAAATGAATTGATATCTAGGAATCAACAATCAACTAGTTCAAGAACTTGGAGGATAAAATGAATGTGGGCAATTTCAAAACTTTTGTAAACACAATCTTTGAATATGAGTCCTCGAGTTCAAGAAAACACGCATAAACCCGAGAATCCAACAGAATTATTGTAGTCATTGATTTAAAAGATGAGTACCTCACGCAGCCATTGTAGTCGATATCCGCATCAAAGAACTGAGAGATAGACATGTTTTCGCCAAGCACCTTCTTCGCCCGCTCCCTATTCCTCTTATCAACTCTTGCTTCAGCCAAATACAAAAACGCTCGAGCAACAGCTAAAGTAGACACCAGCAACCATATCGCAGCAAGAAGCCTACCGGGCAATGTATTAAAAGCCCGATCACCATACCCAACCGTAGTAACCGACATAACCGAGAAATAAAACGAATCCAACCACCCGATTTCCTCAACAAAATGCATAATCAAAACACCAAATCCAAGGCATAACACCACAACACCCAATGCCAACCCAACTTTCAACCTAATCCTCATCCTCCCTTTCTTGACATCAATTATATACGATTTCGCTTTCTCCCGGTCATTCAAGTTCAAGCTTTCATTCCTCGCAGTTTCTAACATATAGTTTTCTTGAAGATCAAGAACATAAGTAACCATTCCACTAAGCAATATATCCATAAAACCAAACCCAACGAGCACGAACAAGATCGAAAACAGCTTCGTCACCACGCTATCCGGCGTAATGTCTCCATACCCAATTGTACACATTGTAACAATACAAAAGTACAAAGCATCAACAACAGGATGAGTCTTCTTCACATTGTAGCTATCTCGATTCAACCAATAGATGAACACACCTAAAGAGAGATACACAACAAGCAAAGCAATAGCTTGTTTTACAATCTTTTTCGAATCAGATTGCTGCTCTGTTTTGGGATCATTTGGGTGAGATTTATCGTTGATTCCAGCCATAGCAGGAGCTGTTTTAGACCGGTGGAAATTGACGGTCGGTTTAGGTTTCCGGGTCGGTTTATTAGGCTCCGTAAGTGGGATAAGGAGGTCTGTGGAGTCAGAGAATGAGGTTGTAGCAGAGGATGACGGAGAAGGGTTTAGAGAGAGAGCATCGATGAGAAGAGATGAATCTTTTTGAGAACGAGGGAGTGGACCGAAGATTAACCGGTTTTTGAATTCCGATGGTGTTATTGGCATCGGAATCGTGACGTCGTTGTTCTCCGGTAATGGTAACAGAGACGGTGGTCGGTTAATCAAGTATTGGCGTAATGGGTCATTGTTGTTATCGCCGTTACCGTTGTTTGCCATCTGGGTTTTCGCCGGGAAACCGGAAAGTTAAAACTAGGGTGGTTTTCCGATAATGGTGGAGACAAAAAGAGTTGGATAAAGGAAGAAGCTTTTTTCTGTCTGAAGCCCCACCAAAAGGTTGTACTTTTTTTGGGTTATGATTTGGCTTTTTTGCTTATATTTAGTACTGTGAATTTATAAGATTAAAGTTTTCGAAAAAGACAACATTTTAGAGTAATGGATTAATTTTAGAAAATGGTTTGTAGATTGACCCTTGTTTGAAAAATTGTTAGGCGCTAGTCGGACGTTCGGTATGGGTCTAGCGATTAATTGGAAAATCAGATTAAAATCGGAGATTAATCGGGGACTAGTTTTAGGGTTATTTTAATATTTTAAAAATATATTAATCTTATATTGTTTTTAAAATTATAGTAAACACATAATAATATATTTTAAGGCAAATTTTTATGATTTTTAATAAAAAATTATGATTTTTATTAAAATTTGAACATAAATTATTGTAAAATATCACAAACTTCCAATTCAAATGTTTGAATTAAAAAAAAAAAAGTTACTTGCAATAAAAAAATTATCGGGATATGTAAGAATAGGTGGAAAATAATCGGATTAGGCGGAAACTAATCGAATAAAGCGGAGAGTAGTCGGGTGACTGATTTTTTAAGGGATTAGTCATTAATCGAAGCGGAGAGAGTGAACCTAACGATTAAGCGGGGATGGAGATTGACACAATATTAGGATAGTTGTGTCGGTTTTTTGTTTTGTTTTGGTACAATGTGTCATATTTTATTGAGATGATTGATATTGTCGAAAAATAAAATATTGAGATGACACTGATACATGATACATCTTGTACTTTGTAGTTTAGTTGTATGTATCTATTTGATTAACGAACCCTATCTTGCTTGGTAAATTACAAATTGGAACCATAATCCTATCTATCAAAATTTAATCAAAGGGGTTTGGTTGATGTAGTTAATGATCTATATGCTGATATAACAAAGCCAAAGTTCAAATTAATAAACCAAAAATATATTTTGAGAAAAAGCAGTCTTTGTAAATCTACTTGCGTTTCTCTTTCTTTAGGAGCCATGAAATTCCAATCTCTTTTACTTAAAAAAAAAAAAAACCAATAAAAATAGATAATTTTCTGCCAATAAAATTACACTTTAGTATAATGACCTTGATGTCCTCAATTCCATTGTCAATTTCTTTCATCAAGATCATTTTATAATATTCTACTCTCTCCGTTTTGAAATACTTGTCGTTCTAGGTTGTTTTACGTAGATTAAGGAGTTTTATAAATTTACTACTTTAACCTTACAAATAAATATAATTAAATATATATTGTGTAAGTTTAATTGAAGTTATATTTGGAATTTTTTGACAAAACATACATTGAAAAATGAGAATGATAAGTATTTTAAAACGAAAAGATAAACCTAGAACGACAACTATATTAAAACAGAGGGAGTATCTAATAGCGGATTATAACCTCTTTATTAGTTTTGCACAGAAAAAAAAAAAAAAACTCTTTATTAGTGTGCAATACACAAGAAAGTATTTTGTGGAGAAAAAAAAATCTCACACACACACACAAGTGATTAAGTTTCTCACGTTATATTTGAAGGGGTTTAATCCTATAAACATAGAAAAACGGCACTACTAACCAATTTGTGCATTAAAATAAAATAAGTGAAGGGGTCAACTTTGTTTGTCAACGGCATGGTGTCTCAATCTAGGCTGAGTAAGACAAACGGCACGACGTGTCATTTTCTCCGATATAGATGACGCCTGGTTTTCGAAAAGTTGGATTTTTAGATACACCTTTTCAAATTATTTTTTAATTTAAATTTTGACACCTTCGGATTTTTGAGAAACAAAAACAATCAAAAGGAATATGTCCGCTGAAAAATTCATCACAAAAATCAAGTGAATGAAAAAAATTTGATTGAAATTACACTGATGGCAATATATTAGAATAAAATTTTGGATATCATTATATTTAAAAAATAAAAAATCAAATATCAATTTTCTTAAGCAAATACATTTGATTGCCGGCCGGTTCTATTATTGTAATCATTGTTACCACTAACTATTGTTATTCATATCCCTACTTATCATCTTCACAACACGTGTAACGAAACCACAGTTATAGGTGTGTTATTGTAAGTACTCCGTCTATTTCTAATAGTTTGATGTTTTGGAATTTTCACACATATTAAGAACTCAATCATTGTTTAATTATTTTAACATTGTTTTTAATCAAAAATATTTTTAATAATTATCAACCAATAGCAGTCTAAGAAAGTTAATAATTTATAATCATTGTATCTTGAAATTTATAATTTATTATTATAAGTCAATAAAAATAAAATAAAAATGTTAGAAAATTAATTTTTGTGGAACAAACAACAAAAGCTAGAACATCAATCTTTAAGGAAAAGAGGGAATACATATTTTAAGGTTTCATAGTTGCAGTCTAGATCAATCATGTAAAGCTCCAATTTTTGTCATCTAATCACATATGTATCAGTAATATTTATTTTACTCGTATACATGTATGTATTGGTTGCAATGATGACGAGAAGTTGAACGTATTATAAACGAACAAATAAAATCGAATGTAGTAAAATCAGAAAATATTATTATTCGAGCTATTCTCAAGGCTAAGGAACATTGACAAATACTACAAAGAATGGGTTAGTTACAGCAAAAGCCACATTTTCTTAGCCAATCCTTCTATAAGTCTGCTCTGGTTCTTGCTGCTGTTGTTGTTGGCTATGTCTCAAACTCTGTGACTGCTGATTCTGAGGACCCGAGTATAACCTGTAATAAGTGCTTCCTGAGTCGTTGAGTCCTTGAGGAGTCCACATACTAGGGGTCCCATTCTGAGATAGAACCACAACAAGGAAAAATTTCGTATAAAACCGAACCAAAATTTCAAACCAAACCAAAATTTCAAATGCTCACACCCCTAAGAGAGATGTGATGGTTTTTTTTTTTACCTGATGCTGAAGTGTTGCCAAGTGATTGCTAAACTGTGAGTGGAAGTCATCTTCATACTCAAACCTCAAGTTTGGAGCGTTATCACTCAACATGCCAAAACCATGAGTCGAACCATTAGTGGAACCGTAAGCGGAACTGTGAGTGGAAGGAACAAAAGGAACAGCAGATGGAGAAAGAACACTGTTTCTGTAGTGAGGAAGCGGTGCAGTTAAAGATCTAAGATGGTAACTGCTGTTGTTACGACCACCATGTTGGTGAGATGCTGACGGTGACATGTTGTAGGTGCCATTCTGTGTTGTCTGAGAGTACGGATAGTTCATCATATTACCATTATTCCCTGAAGGAACCATAATAGGCTGAGAGTAATGGTTGTTCATGGCTTGTTGATTCATCTGTGGTTCACTGATAGAAGTGTTTAGTAGCGCCTGCAAAAATGAAAACCATACTAAATATGAATCCTATATACGGGTCAAGAGAAATCGTTTAAAGATGGAAAAAGATAGGTGCTTTATGAGAAAAAGAGTTACCTCAGTCACTGAACCCAATAGCCTAGGACAAAGTGAAGATGTAGTAGGCATTGACTGATTGTGAGGAGAAGCCGAGTACTGAGGATCCGGTTCCCTTGTGTATGCTTGTTGACGCTACAACGTATGACAAACAAAAAAAAGACGAAGATGAAGAAATCTCTTATACTATGACATAATGGGAAGTATTGGTTTGATTCAGAGAAATTAGGATTCTTATAGAGCACAAGATTTAGCTACTGAAGTTGTGTATTAAGATGAAACAGAATAAACAAACAAAAGTTAGCAGTTTCTTTTACCATAGCAGGGAAGGTATTAATATTCTGCATCTGAAGGCTTAAAGGAGCCACCACAGGATTCAATAGCTGCCTAGTATCAAATACGAAATCTCTAGCAGATGAAGACTCGTATTGATTTTCTTGAGTAGGTTCTGTCTGACCATTAGCAGCATTAATCCGTAGTCGTTGTTCTTCATCTTCATGGAACTCACCATCTCTGTGAAAATATATATGAGATCATGTAAACGGATAAAGCTAGAGAGAGATAATAAATAGCTTACCTTGTGTTCAGGTAACTTAACGACAAATCATCTGCAAAATCGGATATATCTTCTGAGTCATCATCATCCAAGAACCGTGATGGGAGACCGCTGGGTTGGCAAGATCCATTCATCCCAGAACCAAAACTACCAAATCTCAAATGCTTTAACTCTTTAACAGATGCTTCCGGCTCATCATTCTCTGTAGAGAGTTGCTGTAAACTGGTGACAACAGACGCTGGTGGATCTTTGGCTGAAATAGCAGCAGACTCAATAAATGAGGTAGACAACTGAGAAGCAAGATCGTCAACGCGCAAGTTTTGGATAATTTCTGGAGTAAACTTGAGAAATTGTTCTCTTTCAGCATCATATGAGGTAGATAATGGATAAGTAACACTGTCATCCCGCAAGTTTTGTTTGAATAGCGATGCAGACTCAATAAACGAACGTCTTTGCACTAGGTAAGTCTCATCATTTTTGTTATTGTAGTTGTCACACAATAACTGTGAGCCTCCAAAGTCATCGTCGCGAAATCTTTGGTTGAATATTGAAGAAGTAGACTCTCCAAATTGATCTCCTCTAGCAGCAGACTCAACAAATGAGTTAGACAACGGACAAGCAACATCGTCAACACGCAAGTTGTGGATAAATTCTGCAGTAGACTTGCGAAATTGTTCTGTTTTAGCATCATATGAGGTAGATAATGGATAAGTAACACCGTCATCACGCAAGTTTTGTTTGGATACCGATGCAGACTCTCGAAGTTGATTTCTTCTAGCATCAAACTCAAAAATTGAGTTAGAGAAATAAGAAAAATTGTCATGCAGGTTTTGGTTGGATACCAAAGCAGACTCATCCCTTCTAGCAGCAGACTCATCTGTCCTCTCAGGTAAGTGACAATCATCCTTGAGAGGACCTTTAGTTACACTCTCTTTTACTGAAGCTATGCCCATCTTCACAACAACAGATCCATTCATCCCAGAACCATAATTACCAAATCTCAAATGCTGTAACTCTTTAACCGGTGCTTCCGGCTCATCATTCTCTGTAGGGAGTTGCAGTAAACTGGTGACAACAGACACCGGTGGATCTTTGTCTGCAACAGGAACAATTGGAACATGAAACAACACTCTCAGGAAAAGAAAACATAGCAGGTCTCAGAAGAAAAAGAAAATCTCACTTTGATTGTGCTCAAATTCAGTCACATCATTTTTGTTACTGTGATTGTCACACAACAACTGTGAGCCTCCATAGTCGTCATCACGAAAATTTTGGTTAGATACTGAAGTAGACTCTCCAAGTTGATCTTCTCCAGCAGCAGACTCAATAACTGAGTTAGCCAATTGACAAGCAAAATCATCATCGCACAAGTTTTGGTTGGATACCGATGCAGACTCTCGAAGTTGATCTCTTCTAGCAGTAGACTCATTTGGCCTCTCAGGTAAGGGACAATCATCCTTGACAGGAGCTTTAGTTACACTCTCGTTTGATGAAGCTAAACCCATCTTCAAAACATCAGCCATTGTTTTCTGACCAGAGGTACCACATCCCCAAGCAGGTATCAACCTAGAAGATGGCACAGATAACGAAGGAACTGCTTCACCTGAGCTTTTTGGCATTCTCTTAGTTTCAACATTTAATACATTTCTGCAAAGACACATATAGCGTGTAATGTTACAAGCAAGCTGGTGAAGGTAAACCTGTAACTAACTTTTATGCCACTTCATCAATTATCAGATATATCAATTGAAAAAAAAGGCATTTAAAATAGATTAAATCGAGTACGACATGAAGAGAACCTGTTCAATGGAGGACCAGGACCAAGAATACCGGCTGTAGTAGATGAACTAGCCAACTGATTACGAATTCCTTGCACATTACTCGTCTCTGAACCAAACCCATTGGTAACTTTAGACATTTGTTTGAGATATATAACAGAAGAAAAGATCAGTTCTCTGCATCTCATTACCATCTGAGTCAAACTTGTTTCCACCACCTTGACCAACATAATTATCACTGCCATTCCTCAATTCACGATTCTGGTTGCTACTATCAACTCTTTGAGAATCCGATGTGTCCAAGCTCTGAGAAAAATGAGCAAGTAAGTGGAATAGGACATAAAAAAGGGTCAGGCTTTACAGTAGAAATTTTACTCAAAGGTCTCTAGATTCTGTTTCTAATACACAAACCTCTTTCTTCTCGTCTTGGTTGCTCTTAACTTGCTGAACACTATCTGAAAAAGTTATCGAAGCAACAGCTTCTCAATCGGAACACTATCAATGATTTTGATAACAACAAATTACATTGTCAAAAATCAACAAGAGGGAAAAGAATTCATGAGGCAGAGGTAACTCAGACGCAAAGAAAATTCATGGATGTTGAACCAGATTCAAAGAAAGAACTGATATTTGATTCTTTCCAGAAACATACCAATCAGAGGAAAAAGAAACAAGCCTTGCTCTGTAATCTTTCATCTTCATTTCTTCTTCCCACTTTACTTTCAACTAAACAACTTGAAAGCTTAAAATCCAGAAAGAAAGGCAGAAACGTTTCGAAGAAACCTTGAGAAAGAAGACGATTAACGGCTTTGTCAGCATCCATGTTGCATTCTACAAGCATTTTTTTAGTCTCTTCTTCTGAGCACTTGACAATTTCCTGCACATTCTGTACAACCTCTTTGAAATCCACCGGAACACTATCAGCATTTACGTTACTGCCTTCGTCTCTCTCGCCCATTCTTGACTTTTCCTTGGCCTGGGAACGATAAGCAAAAAAGTGGAATATGACTTGAAAAGGTTCAAGCTTTACATTAGGAATTACACAACAATCTATATCATAGTACACACAAACCTCTTTCTTCTTGTTTCGTTTACTCTTCACTTCCTGAAAACTATCTGGAATCGTAATAGAAGCAAAATTGTCAGAAATCAAGTAACAATTGATTTTAGGCTAATTCTCTAATTTCAAAGAAACATAACAATATCAAAGAATATGCGAAGAGAAAGGGTTTACGAGATTCTCTATAGCACAAGGTTTCAATTCCCATAAAACTCAAGAAACATACCAATCAGAGGAAAAAAGAAACAAGCTTTGCTCTGCTTTCTTTCATCTTCGTTTCTTCTTCTTACTTTCAACGAAACAACTTCAAAGCTTATAAAACCCATAAAAAAAGGCAGAAACTTTATCGAAGAAACCTTGAGAAAGAAGACGATTCATGGCTTCGTCAGCGTTCATGTTGCATTCTACAAGCATATCGTAAATCTCTTGTTCGGAGCAATTCACGATCTCCTTCATAGCCTGTACGATTTCTCTCGAATTCTCCGGGATAGAGTTAACGTTAATGTCTTCTTCTTCTTCTTCTTCTTCTTTCTTTCTCTGTCCTTTCCGTTTTTTGCCGGACGATGAAGAACCCATTTCTGATTCAACAGAAACTTCGTCGACACACGGTTCTTTTCTTTCACAGTCGCAATTCAACAACGAAAAAGGATCCTCTTTGTTTCTCTCTGTCTCTGTCTCTCTCTCGCTTCTGTTTTTTTTTTTTCTCTCGCTTCTGGTTTCGAGTATCAAGAAACCCTTTTTTTTTTTTTTTGGTTCTTTCCCTCTGTCCTTGTCTTTCAATTTTTTTAGGCTTATTAATGGTTTTGGGGAAGAAAAAAGAAAGGTTCAAATTTGGATATAAAAAACACTACTTTCCAAAGTTTTGCCGAAGATAGTAATCATATTAAATACTAAATACTATTGGTAGTGTATAAATAAGAAAAACCCACTTCTGATTTTCTAGATTAAAATCGTATATTACTGTTATAAAAAAATCGTAAATTAGTAAATTACTATAGCTAGTAATATTTGAATCTAATAATTTTAAGTACAAGGCTTACTTTTAATTATTCTATCAATGATTATTTGCAGCTTTCAGATTCACCATTTGTGTTCATAGGATATACCAAAGGTATTTGTCTTCTTTTTTTTTTCTCATAAGTATTGTTTTATTGATATGTTTATTTTTGTCTTCTAATCACACAAGAATCAAGTATATTTATTTTATTTGTGCATATAGATATTGTTTCATGAAAGTATTCTATCGTTGCAATGTGAACAGTGAAAGTGAACAAATGATGACAAAAGTCAAACTCGTATCGTTAACAAAAATAAAAATCGAAAGTAATGAAATCAGAAAACATTATTTTAGCTTTTCTAATGGTCATATTGACAAAACAGAGTAATGTAGTTTTATAGTACTACATACAAAGAAGGGTTAGTAAAAGTAAAACCCATTATAAGAAGTTGTCAAAGTAAAATGTATCAGAAAAAAATCGATTGGTTGATTTTGATTACTAGTTGTTTCTTGGCCATTGCAGTTGTTGGGTTTGGTAAGATGGGTCTCCTCTTCTATTGTTTTGTTGGTCTAGAGATGCATTGTAACGACTGCTTCTTTCAAATGCATTGCCAATTCTTCTATAAGTCTCCTCTTGTTCTACTTGTTGTTGGTTATGTCTGAAACTCAGTGACTGTTGATTCTGATCACCCGGGAATACGCTGCAATAATTCCTTCTTGACTCGTTGTGTCCTTGAGGAGTCCACATATTTGAGTTCCTATCCTGAAGGTCGAAGAAACACAAGTTCTAGTATAAAAAACAAACTAAACCGAGAAGAGCTGAACAAAATCAAAGCTCCCACCCTTAAAAGAGAGATGTGATGGATTTACCTGATGCTGAAGTGATGCCAAGTGATTGCTAAATCGTGTGTGCAAGTCATCTTCATACTCAAACCTCAAGTTCGCAGTGTTATCACTCAACATGCCAAAACTGTAAGCAGAATCGTAAGCCGAACCATTAGTGGAACCGTAAGCAGAACTCCGAGTGGAAGTACCAGCAGCGACAGTTGGTAGACATGGATAACTGTTTCTGTGCAAAGGAGGTGCAACTAAAGGATGAAGATGGTAGGCGTTGTTGTTACCACCACCATGTTGCCGAAATGCTGATGTTGGCATGTCGTAGGTATCACTCTGTGTTGGCAGAGAGTAAGGACAGTTCATCATATTACTATAATGCTCTGAAGGAACATTAGGCTGAGAGTAAAGGTGGTTCATCTGTGGTAAATAGATAGAAGCGATTAGTAGTGAGAGTAAAGAAAAGTCGTTTAAAGATGAGAAGTAGAGTTACCTCGGTCATGGAAACTGATAGCCTACGACCAAGTGAAGATGCACCAGGCATTGACTGATTATGAGGAGAAGCCAAGTACCAAGGATCCAGTTCCCTCGTGTATGCTTGTTGATGCTACAACATATGGCCAAAAGAAGCATGGATTTAAGCTGAAGAGTATCTTATACTATGACACAATGGAATTGTTGGTTTGATTCAGAGAAATTAGCATTCTTATATATAGCTTGAGAAGTTGTGAATTAAGATGGAGTGGAAGAAACAATAAAGTTAGCAGTTTTTCTGTTACCATAGTGTCAGGGAAGGTATTCAAACTTTGCATCTGAAGACTTCGTTCTGAAGGAGCCGTCACAGGATTGAACAGCTGACTATTATAAAATGAGAAATCTGTAGCAGATGAAGACGTGTACTGGTTTTCTTGAATAGGTTCTGTCTGATCACAGTTGATTTCATATGCCATTTGTTCATTTGCAACATTCATCCTTGGTTGTTGTTGTTCCTCTTCATGGCACTCACCATCTCTGTGTGAAAATGTTTATGAGATCTTTAGATCATTAAAATGGATAAAGCTAGAAGAGCAGATAAAAAAGGCTTACCTTAAGTTCAGGCGTCTGAGAGACAAATCATCTGCAAAACCGGATATATCTTCTGAGTCATCATTCAAGAACTGTGATGGGAGACTGCTATGTTCGCCAGATCCATTTATCCCAGAACCAAAACGTCCAAATCTCAATTTCTTTAACTCGTTAATATATTGGTCTAAATTTGCTGGCGCGAAAGGATCTTTGGCTGAAATAAGAACAAAGGGAGCATGAAACAACAGTATCAGGAAAAGAAAACATAGCAGGTTTCAGAAGAGTAAAATATTCTCACTTCGATTGTTCTCAAAAGAACATCTTTTCACTTGGTAAGTCTCATCGTTTTTGTTATTGTAATTGTCATTAGACATTTGGGTGGATACTGAAGCAGATTCTTGAAGTTGATCTCTTCTAGCAGCAGACTCAATAAATGAGTTAGAGAATTGATTAGGAACAACTGGATTCTCATGTACATCCTTGACAGGAGCTTTAGTTACACTCTCTTTTGGTGAAGCTGAACCCATCTTCACAACATCAGCCATTGTTCTCTGACCAGAGGTACCACATCCCCAAGCAGTTATGAACCTAGAAGATGGCACGGATAAAGAAGGAACTGTTTCACCTGAGTTTGTTGGCACTCTCGTAGTTTCAACATTTGACACAGCACTGTAAAGACAGAGATAACGTGTCATGTTACAAGCAAGCAAGTGAAGGTAAACCTGTCATTAACTTCCATCCATTTCATCAATTGACAAAATTAAAGCATTTACAAGAGATTAAACCTGTTCAATGGAGGACTGAGACCAAGAATATCGGCTGTAGTAGATGAACTAGCCAAATGATTACGAATTCCTTGCACATTACTCGTATCTGAACCAAACCCATTGATATAACTTTAGACATTTGTTTGAAATACAGAACCACTATTAACAGAAGGAAAGATAGGTTTTATGCATCTCAGTACCATAAGAGTTAAGCTTGTTTCCTCTACTTTGATCAACATAATAATCACGGCCATTCTTAAATTCGCGATACCGGTTGCTACCACTATGAAACTCTGATGCGTCTTTGGCCTGGGAAAAATAAGCAAATAAGACTTAAAAAGGTTCAAGCTTTACATTAGAAATGACACAAAAATCTATATAGTAGTACACACAAACCTCTTTCTTCTTTTCTCGTTTACTCTTCACTTTTTGAAACCTACCTGAACAAGTAATCGAAGCAGCATTATCAGCAATCAACTAACGAGCAAAGAAAACTCAGAGGCAAGAATCACTAGCATAAGGTTTCAGTTCCCATAAAACTCAAGAAACATACCAATCTGCTTTCTTTCATCTTCGTTTCTTCTTCTTACTTTCAACCAAACAACTTCAAAGCTTATAAAACCCATAAAAAAAGGCAGAAACTTTATCTAAGAAACCTTGAGAAAGAAGACGACTCATGGCTTCGTCAGCGTCCATGTTGCATTCTACAAGCATTGCGTAAATATCTTGTTCGGAGCAATTCACGATTTCCTTCATATTCTGTACAATCTCTCTCGAATTCTCCGGAATAGTATTTCTGTGTCCTCTCCCTTTTTTGCCGGAAGATGAAAAACCCATTTCTGATTCAACAGAATCAATCAACACGAAGAAAGAACAAACGAAAAGGATGATCTTTGTTTCCCTCTCTCTCTCTCTATCGCTTCTGGCTTTTGAGTATCAAGAAACTCTGTTTATTTTTTTCTTTCCCTCTGTCTCTCACTTTCAATTTTTTTGGGCTTAATAATTGTTTTGGGGAAGAAGAAAAAAAACAATTTGGAAATAAAAAACACAACTTTCCTAAATATTCATAAGTACGAGGACGTATTTATAAATATTCGCAAACTATTGCACCATATAACATTAGCTCTGTTGATTTGAATCTTGACCGTTAAAAAAAGATGAGGCTTTTGCTTCCATTTTCATCGCCGTTATCCGCCACGTCATCACCGGCGACGCCGCAATTTCTCCCGGAATATACACTTCCGTCTCAATTCGACTACTCTGCCCTTAGTAAAATTCTCAAAAAATCGGTAATCGGAACCCTAACCGGAGCTCTATCACTCACTCTCGTTTTCTCGTCGCCGATTTCCTCCGTTGCTGCTGCTAATGATCCTTATCTCTCTCTCAATCCTCCTTCGTCATCGTTTGAATCTTCTCTGAATCACTTTGATTCGTCTCCGGAGGATTGTCCTAACGAGGAAGAAGCTGATACTGAGATGCAAGATGATGACTTTAAGCCTCAGTTAGTAACCAATGAAGGGATTGTTGAAGAAGCTTGGGAGATTGTTAATGGTGCCTTTCTCGATACTCGTAGCCATAGCTGGACTCCTGAAACTTGGCAGGTATGTGAATTAGCTTGTTGGGGTGGATAAAGGAAGAAGCTTTTTATGTGTAAAGGTTGAATTTTTTGTTGTTACTTTGCAGAAACAGAAGGATGATATATTGGCGAGTCCAATTAAGAGTAGATCAAAGGCTCATGAAGTGATTAAGAATATGTTGGCAAGTTTGGGTGATCAATACACTCGATTCCTATCACCAGATGAGGTTTTTGTTCTTTACATTGATTTTGATTGGTGGAGGAAGGAATCTTAAGTTGTTCTAGTTACGCATAACTTTGTTTATGTCACTTGTTTGTAGTTTTCTAGGATGTCGAAGTATGACATTACTGGTATTGGAATAAACCTTAGAGAAGTTTCTGATGGTGGTGGAAATGTAAAGTTGAAGGTTCTTGGTCTTGTATTGCACAGTCCTGCTGATATTGCTGGTGTGAAACAGGTTAAAAGCCGGTCTTGTTTCTTTCTAGAATCTTGCTTTGCTGCTGGTTTTGCTTAAAGTGTGCCATGTTCTTCTCTTGTTAGGGAGATGAAATTCTTGCTGTCAATGGAATGGATGTTAGTGGGAAATCGTCATTTGAAGTATCATCTTTGTTACAAGGCCCTAGTAAAACTTTTGTGGTTCTCAAGGTTACTATTCTTAATTATAAGATACAGACTAAATACATGAGTTATTGATTTAAGTTTGGACTCAAGATTTATGTAGTTTATGCATATTCTAGGTGAAGCATGGGAAGTGTGGACCTGTTAAGTCTCTTAAAATCCAGAGACAAGTTAATGCACAGACCCCAGTCTCTTATCGGTTGGAAAAAGTTGACAATGGAAAAGTCTCTGTCGGGTATATTCGCCTAAAAGAGTTCAATGCTCTGGCTAGAAAAGATTTGGTGATTGGTAAGCCTTTTCATTTTGTCACATCAAAGTTATCAACTTTCGGTCCCATCCTTTAAGCTACTTGTGTTTATGCTACACATTTTTTTTACTATGTGCAGCAATGAAACGACTCCAAGACAAGGGTGCGTCTTATTTCGTTATGGATCTTAGAGATAACCTTGGTGGACTTGTGCAGGTTCATTCTACAACTGTAACTTAAGACCATATCTTCTCACAAATTCTTTACAACCACTTGATTCTTCACTTAGGCTGCGTTTCTCGGTTTTGATTATTTCAGGCTGGAATAGAAACTGCTAAGCTGTTCCTAGATGAAGGGGATATGGTAAAGCAACAATCATTTAGAATCCTCCAAACATTTTCAATCGTTTTTCAAGAATATTAAAACGAATAGCTTGCTTCAACTTACATGAAGAGTTCTATCACTATTTGCTTAAACTCATGCTATATGTTGCAATTGTGTAACAGGTGATATATACAGCTGGGAGAGACCCCGAGGCTCAAAAAACTGTTGTTTCGGATAAGAAACCGTTGATCATTGCCCCACTTATTGTATGTGATAGATCATGTAAGCCATTTAATCTTTCACACTATTATGTTTTGTTTTGCATCAGCCACTGAATAGAATCCTAATCATTGTTGCAGGTAATGGTAAATAACAGAACAGCAAGTGCTAGTGAAATTGTGAGTAATCTCAATAGATTTAAGCCACGCAAACTCGTCTTTTTTGGATCATTAAGCGGAAAATTTTTCATTTTTCTCCAGGTGGCATCTGCACTTCATGATAACTGTAAAGCAGTTCTTGTTGGCGAAAGAACTTACGGAAAGGTTATTCCAAAGTCTTACTAGTTTTATAACCAATCTATCGATTTTGAAATGTTTGTGATCATCTTCATGTCAATTGAATCAATGGGTTTTTAGGGTTTGATTCAATCGGTGTACGAACTCCGAGATGGTTCAGGAGTTGTTGTGACAATAGGAAAGTATGTCACACCTAACCATATGGACATCAATGGTGGTGGAATTGAACCTGATTTCAGAAATTTACCAGGTTTAATTAAGCTCTTGAATCTTGATTTTTTGTCATTTAAGTATTTGAACAATTCATTAACCTCAGGTTTTGATATGTACAACATGCAGATTGGAATGAAGTCAAAGAACGTTTATCTAAGTGCAATATTCTCCAACGAAGTTGACATGCAATGAAACTCATCAAGCTTTGTACTTATTATTCTTTGCTTAAACCACAACAAAAAAAATTGGGTGTAAATTAAGTTTTGGCTAAAGTTAAAGACTTAAAGAGTATCTATAATAAAAATATGGGTCATTCTTGATCTTCTGGACAACCTCCAACGGAGTATTTTTCTCATTTATTTTCTAGTACTGTTGATAGCCATAAGTCTTTAGGGTAAGATTCAGATTTAAGGTTTGGTAGGGTTCACGAAAGAAGATAAAATATGGTCCAATCAGAGCCGGACCAAAGAAATCGGGAGCCCCATACGAATTAAATAAAAAATAATATCAAATTTTTTATAAAATAAAAAAATCAGAGTAAAAATAATTAGTTTAAGCAAAACTCTTGATTGTTTTAGAATTTTTTTAAATAAAAAGGTTTTCTCTTATTCGATGAAAGAAATCTAATGGTTTGTAAAGAAAAAATAACTTACTATTTCTTTTTTATTATTCAATTGTATATAATAATTATAAATTTTTTAGACATATATAATATTTTAAGATCTATAAACAATAATTAATATACATATATAAAAGAAAACAAATTATGTGGGACCCTTCTAAAATGGGAGTCCCATTGCAATGCTTCGTAATAATGTCCTTAAGTCCGGCTCTGGGTCCAATAGACGTTGAAGTTATGGTTTGTTAATCAATAACATCAAATGACATTTTCCATCTGTTAAATTTATGACATTTGATCTCCATCTGTTAAAATCAAATGAACGTTACCTGAATCTATAGAAAAAAAAACGTAACTGACATCTATTTAGTATATACCCATACAATCATTTTGTCCTATATTAAGTTAAAATTGATATCCTAATTAATTAGAAACTAAAACAGACAAATACGTTATTTGAACCAATTAAATAGACAAATACGTTACTTGACCCATTTAAACCTAAGTTTGAATCACCATTCAAAAAATGTTATAAAGACAGACTTTTTCTCCAATGGAATGGAGTATTCTACTGAGAATTTTGTATATCTAGTCTCCAACTACATAACTAAAGATAGATTGAAGAAGGGTAAAAGAAGAACAACTTCTAAGTATGGTTGGAACATTGGGGTAGAAGCTTTGTTGTTTGCCAATTATTAGATATTATTGTTTTGTGAGGAACTAAAAAAAATAGTAAAGCTTTCTTGAAGTTAGTGTGAGAAAGTTTTATAAGCATAAAGAGATTTCTCTAGATAAAGCATATATGTTTTAGACATCCAAGAGGTAACAACTATCTCTGGAGAAATATCTTCATGCTTATAAAACCTTCTCACTTTAACTTCAAAGGAAGCCTTACTATCTTTTTTGGGTTTCTTAAGGATAATGATACCTAAGTAATTGGGAAACCACAAAAGCTTCTAACCTAATGTTCGTTGCGAATGTGCTTCGTAATCATCTCATAGTTAACTCATCATATATTAGCAACAAATTAGCAAATATTCGAAAGATTTGATATCAAATAACACTAAATCAATTCTAACATATGAGGACTTGGCAACTTGTCGCTCATTTGAGATTGTAACGATCCTAACAACGTTATATTTCGCAAATTTGCGACAGCCGTTTTCGACGCACAAATCCGACAACCATTTTGTTTATAATGATCTTAAAAACCTTCACACTCTCATTTTTAAAAATTTCAAAAGAAATTTGTTATTTGCCAAATTGACCCATAATTGAAAAAAGAGAATTCAAAGTCTTGTCTATCAATGGTGACGACGGAGGTTAGGACCGCCGTCTCCGATAAGGAACCATTGCCACCGTCTCCACAATTAGACGGATCTAGTGGTAAACCCTCTCTCTCTCTCTCTCTCTCTCTCTCTCTCTCTCTCTCTCTGTGCATCAGTTTTGGGTTATCTCCATTGCAGAGCGATTCCGCCATTACTCAAAGAACCAAATAGAATCTTAAGTCACCTCATTGGGTTGATTTCGTTTGCAGATTTCCTCGACAACGATAGATTACAAGAAACTTTCTCCAGTGGAGCTCTTGATTTTGATGAATGGATTTTGTTAATCTCCGAAATAGAGACTTCGTTCCCCGTAAGTCGCACTCATTGTGGTGCAAAGTTGCATTTTCTGATTTCGTGATCTTAAATTAGGGTTCTTTTGTGTGAATTTCAAAACTTTTTTTTTCATAGGAACTAAAATCTCTGAACTTGCTATTTGTAGGATGATATTGAGAAGTTATGTTTAGTTTACGATGCTTTCTTGTTGGAGTTTCCATTGTGCCATGGCTATTGGAGGAAATATGCTTACCATAAAATAAAGTTATGCACTTCAGAAGATGCTCTTGAAGTTTTCGAACGAGCAGTACAAGCAGCTACTTATTCTGTAGCTGTATGGCTCGACTATTGCGCTTTCGCTGTTGCTGCTTATGAAGATCCTCATGATGTTAGTAGGTATTTCGGAACTTTTTGTAGGCTTTGTTTTTATATTAAACTTTCCATTTTGTTTTGGCACTCAAACATCAATCTTAGTCATCATTGCAATTGTTCTATGTAGTAGATTTATTTTCTCCATCTGGCTACAATTGTTTTAGTTGTTAAGCATATGCAATTAATGATAGAATGGCAATTTACTTTATTATCTCTATCTATTACACTTTGCGGAGAGCCAAAGGATGATTTTTGGAACTGATTACTTCTCTTGTGGCAGATCATTTGAGAGGGGGCTTTCATTTGTGGGAAAAGATTATTCTTGCTGCAATCTTTGGGACAAATATATAGAATATCTTATGGGGCAGCAGCAATGGAGTTCATTGGCTCATTTATATCTCCGGACCCTGAGATATCCATCCAAAAAGTTGGATCTCTACTACAAAAAGTATGTCCTTTTACATATGTTCTAGAATGACTACCACGATGTTTACATGAAGTTCCTGTAGATGAAGTTTGTCTTTCTCCATTCCAATATAGTTGTCCTGTACTTTTTTCAGCTTCAGGAAGATTGTGGCTTCTTTGAAGGAGAAGATTAAATGTAGAATACATGTTAACGGAGACCTTTCTTCAGACCCCATGGAAGAAGATTTGGTCCTTACACGTCACACTGATGAGGAGATCTCTATTGTTGTAAGAGACTTGATGGGTCCTTCCTCTAGCTCAGCTGTGTCAAAAGCACTGCATGCATATTGGTCAATTGGAGAACAGTTCTACCAAGACTCACAGCAGTTGATGGAGAAAATAAGCTGCTTTGAGACACAAATCCGCAGGCCTTATTTTCATGTAAATCCGTTGGACACTAATCAGCTCGACAATTGGCATGCATATTTGAGCTTTGCCGAAACATATGGGGACTTTGATTGGGTAAGAGGTATTCCTTTTTTACTGATTCAGTTTGGCTCTTGTTCCATTCTTGTTTATATATAAAACTTGTTTCTTTTTTAATTGCAGGCTATTCATCTCTATGAGAGATGCTTAATACCATGCGCTAATTACACCGAGTTCTGGTTCCGCTATGTGGATTTTGTAGAAAGCAAGGGTGGAAGGGAGCTAGCAAACTTCGCATTGGCTCGAGCGTCACAAACTTTTGTCAAGGTAATTGGGGTTATGTTCGCTTTAGTGTATCTAAAAAAATCAGATACAAGGTAGAGGAACAACTAGGATCATACATTTGTATGACGCCTTGTATGTTCGTTGTAGAATGCATCTGTTATCCATCTATTCAATGCAAGATTCAAGGAACACGTTGGAGATGCATCTGCTGCTTCAGTTGCTCTGTCTCGATGTGGTGAGGAACTTGGTTTTGTTTTGGTTGAAAATGTAACTAAGAAGGCTAACATGGAAAGGCGCCTGGTAAGAATGATACACTAATCGGTACTATCTGGCTTTGATGTCTCAGTGGTCAAGATATCTAATTATGCACTCTTCCATGCAGGGTAATTTTGAAGGTGCTGTTACTACGTACAGAGAGGCTCTGAATAAAACGCTCATTGGAAAAGAAAATTTGGAAACCACCGCCTTGCTGTATGTTCAATTTTCTCGCCTCAAGTACATGGTAAGTAATGTGTCTTGACTCGAAAAAGTTTTTATTTCAGTTATCTGTTAATAATATGTCAAGATTTAGAGCTATGAGAACTGTTTGGGTCACTACCTTTACCTTCAATACATCACATAGTTTAGAATTCATTCATTATCTTATGGTTTTCTTCCTTTTCGTAGATTACAAATAGTGCTGATGAAGCTGCTCAGATTCTGATAGAAGGCAATGAGAAAGTTCCTCACTGCAAATTACTTCTTGAGGTGTGTTAATGCCTGGCAGCTTGACTGATATTCTGTAAAAGTCTGCTACCGTTTCTAACCTTCAATCACTGTTAATCTTTGCGCTAACAGGAACTTATAAGACTCTTGATGATGCATGGAGGGTCTCGAGGAGTGGATTTGTTAGATTCTATCATAGATAAGGAAATATCTCACCAGGAAGATTCCTCCGATGGTCTGAGCGCAGAGGACAAAGAAGAGATATCAAATTTATACATGGAGGTAAGGTTTTTCTTACAGAGGAGATTCCGTAGTCTTTTTTGCTTGTCTATTTCATTTTTCCCCATTTTTTGATTGATTAGAATGTGTTTGATACTTAGTAATTGCTCTTGGATTTGAGCAGTTTATTGACCTCTCTGGAACCATCCATGATGTGAGGAAGGCTTTGGGTCGACACATAAAATTATTCCCACATTCTGCTAGAGCCAAGTTACATGGGTCCCGTCCTTCAGGAAATTCATTTAGAGAGTTGATTCAGAGAAGAGAGAAGACTCGTGACTGCTTGAATCAGGACCTATTAACAAACAAAGGCATTAGCAGCACAGTCGATTCGACACCAAAAGAAAAGAAAGAGTCATCTCTAGACCCTGATGGTGCCCAATCTAAAGATGCTGTTCGGGCTGATTATGTAAACACTGAGCCTAATCAGGGGTGTCTGGCTTCAGGACATCTAGTTGAAAGAAAGGATAATGTTGCTGAGAGGGAGGATTTGTGGGAGTCACAGAGTGATCTGTCCATGGGATTAAAAGCGGATGACGGTGGTGAACGCTCTCGTGAAGTTAGCCTACCGATCCAAGCCACACCAAAACATGGTTTTGTCACGAAACAAGCTCACTTCTCGTCCAGTTCTGTAGATACTGTGAAATCAGATGCTATTGTGATCCAACCTAGTGGCTCACAGAGTCCCCAAAGTTACCAAAGCCAAGAGTCTCTCAGGCAAACTGGTCGAAACAGGTACCCCAGAAGAGATTTAAACCAGACTCATAGAGATTCGAAACCTCGTTCTCGAGAGAGACCTCCTCAGATGTCGTATTCTCCAGTCGGAACTGGTCGTGAAATTCCCGGTCAGCACATGGGTGTTGCTCCTCGAGACAATCGAGCAGCGCTACAAAGCTCAATCTCACGGAATCCGCAAAACCAATTTCACAACTCTGCACTTCAGATGCATCCTGTGGTTCAAACATCCAATGCTTATCCTCAAACTCAGATACTTGGTCAGCACATGATTGTATTGCCTCCAGACTCACAGAATCCGCAGAACCAATATCAAAACTCTACATCTCAGGTTCAAACATCCTTTGCTTATCCTCAAACTCAGATTCCTCAGAATCCAGTGCAAAGTAACTACCAACAAGAAGGTCAGATGCAGAGTCATGAAGCTTATAACCAGATGTGGCAACAGTATTATTATAGCTATTATTACTATCAGCAACAGCAACAGCTTATGTCTGAACAGCCACAACCAAATCAGAACCCTCAGCCACAACTAGATCAGAATCTTCTGCAACTTCTCTCCAAACAGTACCAATCTCAAGCCAATACTCAGTATCCACAACCTCAACAGGTGAAGGAACAGCTCAATACACAGCAACAGAGCCAAGAACCACAAAATCAGCAGCAAATTCAGTTCCAGCAACAACAACAAGAATGGTTCCAACAGCAACAATGGCAACAACAACAGTATTTTCTCTATCTTCAACAACAGCAGTTGCAAGGAGAAGCAAAAGGCGATGAACAAAGACTCTCTATGCCACAGCCACAGGTCTCCACAACAAACAGTGATGTTCAAAAGGTTTGCTTCAAAAACCTTTAAATTTGTTTATTTTATATCTACTTAAGCTGTTTACTAAGAATAGATGTTCTTGTAGAGTCAAGAATCTGGAGCAGTCAATGAAGCAAATCTATCTTCTGACACTTCCATCAGTTCTATATGAATCTCATGAAAGCCGATGGACACGTAACTGATTGTGTTATTTAATTTAAAAACAAAAAATGTTCCAAAAATTTCAATTTTAATAATAGTTAACGAATTTTCCGGTTTTTATGAGATATAGAATTAGGATGAAGAATTCCTTTACCAAACTTTGAATTTCGAATTGATAAAAAAACCAATTGTAATTTGGTAGTTTTTAACGGTTTAATGAAATTTCAGTTTTGTTCGGTTTGGTTTTCAATCCAAGTTTAGCATTCAATTAATTTTAATCCACTTCGGTTTATCCGGTTCAGTTTCGTTTGTGTGAACTAAATCAGTTTTGGTTATAGATTTCTTAATTAAAGAAATCATGACGTAAGCAGATTTCCGTTCGATTTTGGTTTAACGGTTAAGTTCGGTTTGTTTTTTTCGGTTACTGTTTTTAAAAGGACGAAACAGAAACAATTAAAAGTATTTGGTAAATTTTCGTAATTATTTTAAGTTTCTGTTTTGCTCCAAATCTCGAAAAGAATCTAAAATTATTAAACAATTTGAAAAAAAGCGAGGGGCTTGAACACGCGTCAAATTATGTGGGTGAGTCGTCCAGCTGGTCTACTACAACACGTGTTGGCTCAGTATTGGATAAGAAGCGCCCACCAAAGGAACAAATCGTAGCCGTCGATTAGAGACAATAAAGAGCCGTCATAAGGCTTGTATCATTCTCTCTTGACCGTTCGTGGAAGTTATGTGAGAGAAAGAAAAAACCCAGAGAGAAGAGAGAGAGACCCACAACACAAACACAAAGTAGACGAAGACGACGACGACGAATCAGCTCTCTTCTCTTCTCCTCTCCTATCCTCTCTCTCTCAGGTCCGTCTTCTTCCCCCCAAATTCGATCGCTTTCTTCTTCTTCTTTGTCTTCACCTCTATATTTTCGTTATATTTTTTAAATTTTGTTTTTGTTTTCTTCTGTGTTGTTTGACTTTCGATTTCTGATTCTGTGGTTGTTTATGCTTTGAATTTTTTGGATTTGTTAGAAAAACCTTCCATTTCATCTGGGTTTTGATAAAGTTTCCTTTTTTTTTTTCCGAATTGTGCTGGATTTGTGAATTTTGTTCTGGGTTTCGTTTATCTGTGGTGAGTTTATGTTTGAATTTTGATTCTGCCGAATTCGTTTTTGTGTGCTAATTTGATTTATCGCTTTCTAATTTCGCTTAACGATGACTTGATTCTATGTTACTGTATCTTTGATTTGGTCTTGGAACTTTACTTTTAGTAGAGCATGTAAGTTTGAATAGAGGGACCTATTTGTGAATTATAATTAGGTTTTTTTGTTTTTTTATGTGTTAAAGATTCTGGGTTTTGCTATTTCTGATAGGTTGACTTGTGGTTTGTTTGTCTTCTCGATTTTGTCTCCATGATCCCAGATTCCATGTCCATGCTGTGTAGATTCTGTTCTCCTTTTTGGATTTTGGGTTTGATTATTATTAAAATGATTGATTGTGATGGGCTCTGTTTTTTTGCAGCATCTTCTGCTGGTTTGGTCTTTCAAGAAGGTCCCGTTGCACCTAAATGTGCTTGATCCAAGGTCGTTATAATTCTGTATACAGAGCCAATGCCATATATAGAAATGAAGAGCAAGATAAGCAAGGTTCTTGGTGTCTGTAAGAAACATAAAGCAACTACAAGAAATTCTTGCTCTTTGTCCAAAATATCAGGGGACTTGGAAAGCATGACCGCAGCTATTACTCATGCTTGTGACGGCGATGAGAAACAGCATCCTGGTAACGATTTTTGATAACCTGAGTTTCTTGTGTCATCAATCGTTTTTTGGTTTCTTCTCTCTGATGATTGTGTTATTTTTCTTCAGGGCTGGATACTTTTACTCGGGATACTGAAACCAATGAGCCTGCTGAAATGCTTGTTGACGACACTTCTCAGTCTCAAGGGTTTGCATCTTCAGTCGATGGTTCTGAATCTGTCGAAAAAATGGTACGATTTGATAAATGTGTAGCTGACTTTCAATCATCCTTCTTTCACGGATACTGGATGAGCAACTTTTTTTTATCGTGCTTTTAACATTTATGTGCAGGAAAATGCTTGCAATTACATGTCGAACTCAGATACAATATTTTCACCTGTTCTGAATGATGAACTGAATGGAACTGATCGAGGTATATGTTCCTGTTACAGTTTTAGTATAAGTTTTCCTTTGTTTGACATATAACAAAGCTAATAGATTTCTTTCCTCAGTATTTTCAGCAGGAAACTCTGTGCACTGGGAAACCCCTAGGTGGGGAGCCGACGAGAGCAGCAACAAGATTTACTTTGACAACCAAACGTGCAATGTTTCTGATTTCTATATTTCCGATGTTCTTATTGCGAGCTTGCCGTTTGATGAGAGTGGAAACAATGATGCTTTCACTGAAATAAGCCCCTTACCTCATTACATCTTTCCTGAACAGTACATGGTACTACCTTACTTAGAAGATGGATCAGCCAACACAGATGATATTAAATCAGACGTTGGCAAGATTAATCTCGATAACCATGACTTGTTTCTGGCATTCAACCGGACAAGATCGCCCAATATGGAACCAGAGGATCATGCTGAATCTGAACTAGCTGAAGACTTTGATCCTCAGCTTTTTATAAAAAACCAGCCAGAATTGTCGGATGTTGTATCCAATTATTGGCCTCGGGATACCCTAAGAAAGAAGTCTGTGACCCTTGTCCTTGATTTGGATGGTATGATTTCCTCATTTAATTATTATTGAGTCTGATCCTTTCACGTTATTCTCTCATCTTGTGCTCAGTGCTCATTCGTTATAACAGTTGTTCCCTTAAAATTAATGTAGTATACTTTTTAGGCATTTTTATGACGTTGTACTGTTAAATTTTCTGTTTCTCTGACCTCTAAGGTAGATGAGCTACTGAACTTAACAAATATGTTTTATTTTTAAATGCAGAAACTTTGGTCCATTCGACTCTGGAATCGTGTAATGTTGCAGATTTTTCCTTCAGAGTCTTTTTCAACATGCAAGAAAACACGGTCTATGTGAAACAAAGGCCACACCTTTACAGGTTCTTGGAGAGGGTGGGAGAATTGTTTCATGTCGTCATCTTCACAGCAAGCCACAACATCTATGCTTCGCAACTTCTAGATATATTGGACCCAGAGGGAAAGTTCATATCACAGCGTTTTTATCGTGATTCCTGCATTCTTTTGGATGGAATTTACACCAAGGATTTAACTGTACTGGGTCTTGATCTGGCCAAAGTGGCTATAATTGACAACTGTCCGCAGGTACTTTATCTTAAGATCTGCTCATGGGTCTTGACATTATTCATTGAAGTCTGATGTTTCATTATGTTTTGATATACTCTGTTACTGAGAATACTATAAATTTGATGAAAGGCCTCTTCCATCAATTTCAGTTTGAAGAATATTAAAAATTACAAACTTTCTTGGTGTATAATAATTATACATGGACCCGTTTTGATTATCCAACTCTTTTCTTTGTTAATTGTTTCAGGTGTACAGATTGCAAATAAATAATGGGATCCCTATCAAAAGTTGGTATGATGATCCAACTGATGATGGTTTGATTTCTATACTTCCCTTCTTAGAGACTTTGGCTGTTGCTGATGATGTTCGGCCTATCATTGGCAGGAGATTTGGTAACAAGGAATAAGAGCTTCCTTCTCTTTTTCTCTATATACATCGAGTGCAGATTCTGATATCTTTCCTTTTGATTTTAGTCATAAATTGGCCCTTAATTAGTTCCTCATATCTCTTTTTAGGTCGTTAATTAGGTAACCAAAGAATAAGCTCGTTGAGTCTAGTGATATTAAGTTTCCTTGCTTGCTCGCTTTTTTAATAGAAGACCTAGTTGTGGGCTTAAATCTTATGATTTTGTTGGTTCTCTTCTGCCAAGATAGATCCTAGAAAATCTTGCAGTTTGTTACAAATGTACAGTTGGTTAAGCTGAGATAATGGATGTGTACAAATGAGTTACTATTGCGTGAAATCATTTTGGAAGTTAATACCAGCGGCGTTCATGGTCTCTTTATTTGGATTCCTCTTCTACTGTTAGTTGAGCTTGAAATTCTTACTTGGACTGGTAAATCCAGAACGTTTTTACCTGCGTCTATGCCAGTCATATAAATACAGAAATATAATCAAATAATGCAGAAGTTTATTGAATCTTCTATCAGCTTCTATTGTTTATTTTTAAGGTTCTGAGCAAAGTTATCCCACGTTTTCCGTCTCTTGGCTTTGCAAGATTCAGATGAGATATCATACTTCGAGTTCGAGGTTGGAGGAATTCTGAATATGCGATGATCGAGTCAAGCTCATGGTATATATATATAGTCCATAATACTCATTAAAATTTTCATGATTTTTGCATGCCTTATGTGCAGATATCATCCAAAGAAGTAACAAACCTTAACTATATTTATACGCTTTATGGAAAATGACAACAGTAGGTAAGTTTTAAATCCATTTTTACTTCTCGTTTTTTTGGTCTAACAAGCTTCTTCTGCTTCTTGTTTCTTATCTCCTTCCTCTTGAACCTTGTAATCTTTATACTGAAAGCTGTTTCACAATCTTGTTACTTATAGTTTGGTCCCAAACCTGTCTATGTCCCTCTGTTTCTGTCCCTTGTTTCATGTAGAGTAAAAAATGGTTATTGTCTTAATATCATACACGTTTTAGTGAAAGATGATTGTTTAAAATGTATATATCCCAGTTTCAGTGTTTTCTGAGCTTGGTATGTCTTCTCCTAGGTTTTAACATTTATGTGCTGTGTGACTGGTTTAAGTTAGTGTGTTGATCTTTGATGATATCCTGAGTGAATTTTCCAGGAACCAGAGCTCCTAAAAACTAGTCGCAGGCTCCTTGATGTTTTCCCATGAAAGTATACTTTGCTCAGTCCATACATTATATAGTGTACAATACATGAATGATTTTATTATTGTGTAACCATCATTTTACAATCTATAGAAACCTTTACACATTATCAAAAGTTCTTTGATAGTCTTAAGAACCTATCTATAATATATGAAGGCTACCTCACAACAGTTTTCCTTTGTCTCGACATGCCCTTCTCCATTGAAAGTGAAACAAAATTATGCATCGGTTTATCTAAGACTCGAAAGTTAAAAGATGGTGAGCTATCTTATGTGCAACGCGGTTACAAGACAGAAAACAACAACAACACAAGTTGCCATGAAATAAATGTCATGTCGCGTAGGTCAAACGGCAGTTCATGCCTTGCCGGTTGGTGATGCCATGAACCGTCTTCTTTCGAGTTTAGGCTCGATGTTTTGATATCCCAAGTTCCACATACAAGTATGTTATTAGCCCATCAAATCTCTACCACTTCTGGTTTTTAAGGCCGATAAAACCCAAGGCATGCAGGAGGCCACGAGCTACAATCCAATCCACCAAACTTAAGTGCTCACACGTGAGACACGGACACATGACCATGAGAACCCTCCGGATCATATAGAGGCTTGTAACCACCTTTCTCCGTTTCGGTAAAGTTGAGATTTTTTTTTGTTGTTGCTTTTACAACTTTCGGCATATCCATTGTTTAAGGGAAGAGATAATGCTGAGACCTTCGCTTCTCTGTTCTTCGGCCTCAATCACTTTCACTCCAATTCAACTATTCAATCCCAATTTCTCCCCTCATTTCCAAAGCTTCGAAGTATCTCGTCCCGTCTCGGCTTTGTCTCGTACCAAAAATTGTCACTTCAGTCTCGTGAGAGCTCGTGGGAAATCCAGCTTCCTCGTTCGTAGCACCGGTAACTAGTTTTGTTTATTCTGGGTTCTCTGTTAGCTGTGGAATCTTAAGAAAGTTTGGGTTTTGAGAAGCTGTTAGCAACTGGATTATTGAGTTGATTCTAATTTTTGGTTTGTTTGGCTCTCTTTGTTCTTTAATCTTCAGCTACTCAAGAAGCTGTTGAAACCAGTAGTAAAAGTGAATTGGATTTAGTTGAAGTTGGATTCTTGTCTGGTGTTCATGGCTTACAAGGCGAGATTTGCATAAAACCAAACACTGATTTTCCTGATTTACGTTTCTCCAAGGTATTAGAAAGAGAGAAATTTGTGTTTTTTTTTTCTTTCTGGAAAAAATAAGCACTTCATACTATTTGACATTGCTTTACCATTGGCGTGATTCCTTCATTAGCCTGGTAGAAGATGGTTAAAACAACAATTGATGGGACAAGAAAAAATTGATGAGGTTGAATTAGTTGAAGGAAGACCTCATCCTGCCCAGAAGAGTTGGATTCTTAAGTTTCGAGGGTTGGATGATGTTGATCAGGTAGTTTAGTGATCCATGAGAGATTTAGAAGAAACAGTTGAACATGATTTGTTAAGTTGGGGGTTTTATTTCCTTCAGGTGAGACAACTCGTTGGTGCAACTCTGCTTGCTGAGGACGATGATCGTCCTGAGCTTGATGATGATGAATTTTACTCTCGTGATCTTGTAGGCATGAAAGTTCTTCTCAAGGTATATTGTGTTTTTGCTTCTTGTATATATATCGAAAATGTGAAATGTCTGTGGTCTAAATCAGTTATCTTATACAGGAGACGGGTCAACTTGTTGGAACTGTTGCTAATATTTTCGACAATGGAGGAAATGATCTTCTACACGTTTTGCTTGACTCATCCATGGAAGTCTGCAACGGGAGTGCAAAGACCAATCAGCTTGTGTGGATACCTTTTGTAGACGCAATTGTTCCTGATGTTGATTTAGAAAGAAAAGAGATGTATATAACTCCCCCGAAGGGACTCCTCGAGGTGAATATGCGAGCAGATGATCGGTCCAAGAAAGAAAGGCGGCAGCTTGTGAGGCATATTCTTCTTCGCTCTTCATATTGACCAGTCTTTAGAGACTCTACAGTTTGATCTTTCTTGGTCTTTTAAACTCTACGCTCTGGTCATTTCAGGAATGGAAAGAAAGAAAAAAGCAGCAGAAGCGTCTTATTTCTGCTAAAAAGAAGTTATGTGAATTGGAGCAAAAGCATGTGTTTGATGGATTAAGGTTTGGAGAAAAGTCTCAAAGGAATTTACTTGCTGATCATATCCTTGACGTAAACTCCACACTGCTTCAGAAAGCGTTGCAAAGTATTGACACCTCATCGAAGAGGTAAATTAACTTCAAGAAATTTCCCAACAATTGCGAGAAGTGTGTTTTCTCTTTTTTCATTTGAATCTTGATGAATTAGATGGAATGTAATTGAGGAAATCAATGAGCTGAGAGCTAGAGTATCGGAATGTACTCTGAATGTGTCACGAGAATGCCTTAGTTTTGATGCAAGCAAAGAGAAAATGGGTGATAACTTCAGTTACCTTCAACAAGGGAAAAGTCTATTCTCTGAGGGTAAAGTTTCTATTTGTTTGGTTCTCAATGATCACGAGAACGAACAACCAGAAGGTGAGAATGGTGTAGTCTCGTACCTTCATACACTACTTGATGAGGAGCAGAGTTTCATAAAGGTTAGCTGATGCATAATTTACCAACTAGTGAGTTTTTCATGTCATTTAGTTATGATTTTACAGGATAACTGGCGGGTTATGTGCAGGAAGAAGATCACGCTTGCGTGCCACTTGTCATAGTTTCCCCTGAACATACCGTTGAAGCTCTGCAGAAGCTATTTCAGGATAATGATCATTTTGGATTTGAAGCAGAAAAGGTTAAGGCTAAGGCTTTTAATTCTTCCAAGGATCATTTTGCATTTCGGTCATCATATTCTATCAGGCTTTTTTTAACAAAATTCATGTTCTACTATCTTCTAGATCTGGATTCTCAAAGAAGAAACGCTTCCAGTAGTATGTAGCTCACCAGAGGAACCGAAAAAGCACAAGATTTTGATGAAATCTCCATGGGAGATACTTAAGTCCCCGGTTGGCTCTGGAGGAGTCTTGAGCATCCTTGCTTCACATGGAATTACAGACTCTCTTTCCAGTCTGGGAATCGATTATCTTCAGGTATCGATATCTAAACATCATCGCTTAATCTCTTTGATCTGACTTATATTTAGAAAAGTTTGATCCTTTCTGATTTTCTTCTTCAAATTTGGTAAAAGGCATTAAGCTTTAAGATGTTGGCAATTTCATAGGTACACAGCATTGAAACAAAACCACAACCTTCGCAACATTACATCAATCCGATGCTCGTTGGATTTGCTAGTGCAAAAGGTGCTGAGATTGGGATCCAGATGACCGAAGAATCTGTATTCAAGAACTTGGAAATGGCATTCTCAATGAAGTTTTTGAAGAGATTAAAGGGCAAAATCGAGTTTGAAGCTGTTATGAAGATGCACTCACATGTTCAGAAGGTTGAAAAGGAGTGGGTTGAGTCCGTACCATCAGAACCGAACTCGTTTGAGTTTCATTCTGATATATGCAGAGTCTTGAGTGAATGTTCTTCATCAGCTAAGATTTGTTTGATGAACATCACAGTTTAGAACATGTATATTATGCTACTTAGTTTTTCGTCCTCACATCTAAAAAGCTTTTGGAATGACAAGCCCGAACACATCGTAGCTTTTGACAAATCAATGATAACCAAAACAAACCAAAGCTACTGACCTTTCGTGGTTTATTAAAAAAAACTTTATGAAATTTCAAAACTCTCTATCCCTCTTTTTGAGAAACTTAAGATCTAACCGTTGATTTGTACCCCAAAAAAGATCCAACCGTTGATTGTGCATTTAGATTAAGTTGAAGATCCAGCCGTTGATTCTATTGACCAATCTTTGATCTTTTACGAAAAATGACGGTTTTGACCTTTCACAGAGAAACCCTAGTTTATGTTTATATAGCAAACTTCAGTCTTCTAAAAAACATCCTTTCACATTAGCGGCGGAGGAAGCTCTCATCACCGTAAGTTCTCTCTCTCACTTTCTCTGAATCACATCTTTGTGTTAGTTTGTGTATGTATCAATTGAAATCAATGCTTCGTCTCACGCTTCTGTACCTTTTGGTGATTTTGTAGAGGAAGAGGAGTAAAAATGGCGGTTCCGTTGCTTACGAAGAAGGTCGTGAAGAAGAGGTCTGCCAAATTCATCAGACCCCAGAGTGATCGCAGAATCACCGTCAAGGTATTCACTTTTTCTCCTTTTCAGGTTTAGAGATTCAACTTTTTTCATGGGTATTCGTTCGTCACTCTCTGGAGTTTAGGCTTTGATAATTAGAAAAAAATGATTGCTTCTACTGTATCATCATTAGGTCTAAGTCTAGATTGTTTCAGTATGATGCATTAGGACTATAAGACTGTGCATCTATATAATGCCCTGTGGTATCTGGTAGCCAGAATTCTAATTCTGTTTCTGGTTACTTCGTTTTTACACGGGCAGAAAGTGAATCTCCTACAGGTCTTGCGACACAGTTTGCTTTTGATTTGATAAGCTTACTGTTACTTTAACCCTGTTGACATTTCTCATCTATCTCATTCGTCAGGAAGCTTGTTTCTCATTCTCTGATGATTCCCTTTGTTTTTCGATTGTTATTGTTCAGGAAAGCTGGAGGAGGCCTAAGGGTATTGATTCCCGGGTGAGAAGAAAGTTCAAGGGTGTCACCTTGATGCCCAATGTTGGTTACGGATCTGACAAGAAGACCCGCCACTACCTCCCTAATGGATTCAAGAAGTTCGTTGTTCACAACACCTCTGAGCTCGAGCTACTCATGATGCACAACAGGTAATGATTAGGACTCCTTAGTGTTGTTACACCACAAAGATTATTGAGCAAATTCTAATGGTGTGTTTTGCTTTGGATTCTTCACAGGACTTACTGTGCAGAGATTGCTCACAATGTCTCAACAAAGAAGAGAAAGGCCATAGTGGAGAGAGCTTCTCAGCTAGACATTGTTGTTTCCAACAAGCTTGCTAGGTTGCGTAGCCAGGAAGACGAGTAAAAGCCCTCAAAGATAACATCATCTAGGGTTTTTCTTTTATCTGTCGTTAACTATTTCGATTTATCTTCTTTTTTTTCTCCTTTTGGAGAGTTACTGAATGATTTTACAACTTGGGTTCTCGTTTTTATGATGATAAACTCAGAATCAGACACAATCTCAGATTTTCAACGTAAAATATGAATCGATTCATCAATTTATTACAAATTTTGTCAGACCCTCGGTGTGAAATGAAGTGCAAAACTTTATGGTTACTGCCAAGTGTAACAAAATTAGGACAGACAGTGAGACACTCCATTTCGCGCTTCATTTCTCACGTTGTCCATGAGAGCAGGAGTTTCACAGTTTGCAAAGGAGTTTCAGAATCGCAAAGTTTTTATATGTAATTGTTGAACAGAAGGACTCGATAAGGCTCGAGAGAATCTCAAGATGAATTGGGGATACACGAGGAACAATAAAATAGTTGATGCCTTGAATCTGTTCGACGAAATGCCTCTGAGAGACGTAAGACGTAAGGGTCGATTACTTTGTGGGTAATTCTCTGGTTTTTGATATGTACAGGGATTGTGGAAGCATGAACAATGCTGTTTCGGTGTTCATAGAAATTTGGAGGCAGAGCATTGTCGTGGAATTCAATTATTGTTGGCTGTCTGCAGCATAGGCCTTTGTCATATTCGGTCAAATAATTCGGTTATACAAAGAGCCAGATGAGATCACTTCCACTGGCTTGCTCTCTGCTCGTATCCATTGTGGGTTTCTACAAAGAGGAAGAAAGCTTTTTGCTTACATGTCAACAGGACCAAATCACTTGTAAGGTATATATTGGGAAGAAAAAACATATGTTGAGGGTTGACAGAAAAAGAGGTGTTGTGATATCGTAGTGAGAGGCTTGCTAGGGTTGGTTAGTATAGTTGAAGGAAGTATAGTCATGTGGTTTTTGAAGATTGTCACACAGTGATTAAGCTGATCTTAAGAGTGGTGGGACGTGAGATTGTGATGCAAGAGCTTCCGTACAGTAATCATCACACGGAACAACTGAAAGAAAAATATGAAATCTGGCCGAATAACCAGAGAATCGAAAAACTTTTTTTTTTTGAATCAATATAAAATTTATTCAAAAAAAAGTCCTTTTGGTACAATAAATGCATCTTTAAGCAACTGGAGAAACAAGATATATATGAGAAGCGGTTAATCGATGGAAAACGAAGGAATCGAAGAATTTCAGCGACGAAACGGAGCAAGAGACTTTGATACCATGTTAGTTGAATAAACGCAAATGAGGATGGAAGATGAAATGTGGATAAGATTTTTTGTTATTCAAGTTAGTTAAGTTGGTTACATAGAGTCTCTTATATAGAAAGAGGATCCTGGTTTACCTGTAAATTGTCCCAGTCCTTACTAAACCGGTCTAGTCAATGTAAACCGGTCCAGAAGATTCAAAAATCGCGAAGCCAAATTTCTCGGAAAGTTCAAAACTTTGTTTTGCTGCCGATGCTACTTTACGCGAAGCTACGTTGATTGTTTTACGCTGATGTGACCGTTGTAGGAATGTGGAGTCGTGCCATTTTTCAACGATTCAGGTTTCGAGCTTTCTCCATTTGGTGCTTCGAGTCTCACGTTATCCATGGGAAAAGCTTCAGGAGTTACTCAGTTACTGTGGAGTTTCAGAATCGCGAAGTTTTGATATGTAATCACTTGTTGAATCGAAGACTCGACGAGGCACGAGAGGTTTTCGATCAGGTTCCATCTCCTCATGTGAGTCTTTACACCAAGATGATTTCGGGATACACGAGGAGTAATAGATTGGTTGATGCGTTGAATCTGTTCGACGAAATGCCTTTGAGAGATGTTGTTTCGTGGAATTCGATGATCAGTGGTTGTGTGGAGTGTGGTGATATAGATACTGCAGTGAAGATGTTCGATGAAATGCCTGAGAGAAGCGTTGTTTCATGGACAGCGATGGTAAATGGGTGTTTTAGGTTTGGTATGGTTGATCAAGCGGAGAGATTGTTTTGTCAAATGCCTGTGAAAGATATTGCAGCCTGGAATGCGATGGTTCATGGGTATTTACAGTTTGGTAAAGTAGACGATGCCTTGAAGTTGTTTAAGCAAATGCCTCGGAAGAATGTGATTTCCTGGACGACAATGATCTGTGGATTAGACCAGAATGAGAGGAGTGGAGAAGCTCTCAATTTGTTCAAGAACATGTTGCGTTGTTGCATAAAATCGACTTCAAGAACGTTCACTTGTGTAATCACCGCTTGTGCAAATGCTCCAGCGTTTCATATGGGTACCCAAGTTCATGGCTTCATCATCAAGTCGGGGTTTTTATATGAAGAATATGTAACTGCTTCGCTCATAACGTTATATGCAAACTGCAAAAGAACAGAGGATTCTCGTAAGGTGTTTGGCGAGATGGTTCATGAAAAGGTTGCTGTGTGGACTGCTCTATTGTCTGGGTATAGTCTGAATAGAAAGCATGAAGATGCGTTAAATGTTTTCTCCGAGATGATAAGAAACAGTATCTTACCAAATCAATCAACATTTGCTAGCGGATTAAACTCTTGCTCTGCTTTGGGAACATTGGATTGGGGTAAGGAGATACATGGAGTTGCTGTGAAGCTTGGTTTAGGAACTGTTGCCTTTGTGGGTAATTCTCTTGTTGTGATGTACAGCGATTCTGGAAACGTTAACGATGCCGTTTCAGTGTTCATAGAAATCTTCAAGAAGAGCATTGTGTCATGGAATTCCATTATTGTTGGCTGCGCACAGCATGGGCGTGGAAAGTGGGCGTTTGTCATATTCGGTCAAATGATTCGCCTAAACAAAGAGCCAGATGAGATAACTTTCACTGGCTTGCTCTCTGCTTGTAGCCATTGCGGGTTCCTACAGAAAGGAAGAAAGCTGTTCTATTACATATCAAGCGGACTAAATCATATCGATAGAAAGATTCAACACTACACTTGTATGGTTGATATCTTGGGAAGATGCGGGGAATTGAAAGAAGCAGAAAAACTTATCGAGAGCATGGTTGTGAAACCTAATGAAATGGTTTGGTTGGCTTTACTTAGTGCTTGTAGGATGCATTCTGATGTAGATAGAGGCGAGAAAGCTGCTGCAGCCATTTTTAATCTGGACTCAAAATCAAGCGCTGCTTATGTCTTGTTGTCAAATATATATGCTTCTGCTGGTAGATGGTCCAGTGTATCGAAATTGAGAGTTAAGATGAAGCAGAAGGGGATTATGAAGAAACCCGGGAGCAGCTGGGTTGTGATTAGAGGGAAAAAGCACGAGTTTTTCTCCGGTGATCGTCCACATTGCTTGAGAATATTTGAGAAGTTGGAATTTCTGAGAGAGAAGTTGAAGGAACTGGGCTATGTTCCTGATTATAGATCTGCTTTACATGATGTTGAAGATGAACAGAAAGAAGAGATGTTGTGGTATCACAGTGAGAGGCTTGCTATTGCGTTTGGGTTGATTAATACAGTTGAAGGAAGTACAGTGACAGTAATGAAAAATCTACGAGTTTGTGAAGATTGTCACACAGTGATTAAGTTAATCTCCAGAGTTGTGGGATGTAAGATTGTTTTAAGGGATCCGACTCGGTTTCATCATTTCAAGAATGGGATGTGTTCTTGCGGGGATTATTGGTAGAAAAGTGACTTGGAAAATTTCAAACTTTGACTTGTGATGTGGAAAGTGACTTGGGAAATTACATTGATATCTGATCTTACAAAAAATAATCAGATATTAATGTAATAATATAAACAGGGTTTTGGCTTGTGTGGTGGTGATTAAGTCAAGTCAAGAACCAGTCCAAAAGAGGAAAATTCCAAGAAACAATGATGCAATTGCTAGGTACCAGCTACTGCAATTTATAGGGTTTCTTAACAACCATGCGAGCCCTCACTTCAACTCTGAATTTCTCCAGAATCACCTCTCTTTATGGCTTCTTCTTCTTCCTCCTCTTCTCGCAATTGGTCATATGACGTTTTCCCGAGCTTCAGTGGAGAAGATGTCCGCAACACATTCCTCAGCCATTTTCTAAAAGAACTGGATAGCAAACTGATCATCTCTTTCAAAGACAATGAGATCGAGAGAAGCCAGTCACTCGATCCAGAGCTCAAACATGGGATTAGAAATTCCAGAATTGCGGTGGTTGTGTTCTCCAAAAACTATGCCTCTTCAAGCTGGTGCCTTAACGAGCTACTGGAGATTGTGAAATGCAAGAAAGAGTTTGGCCAACTTGTGATACCCATTTTCTACCATTTGGATCCATCCCATGTGAGGAAACAGACCGGAGACTTTGGGAAGATCTTTGAAAAGACATGCCGAAATAAAACAGTGGACGAGAAAATCCGATGGAAGGAAGCTTTGACCGATGTAGCTAATATCCTTGGATATCATATTGTTACCTGGTACGACTGTATGAATCATTTATTGTTATTTAACGAACATTATTACTTGTTGTTTAGCAAACATGGTTGTGAAATGGTCTGTTTCCTAATTAGGGATAACGAAGCAAGCATGATCAAAGAAATCGCCAATGATATTTTGGGTAAAATTAATTTGTCTCCATCAAATGATTTTGAGGACTTGGTCGGAATTGAAGATCATATCACTAGGATGAGTTCATTGCTGCACTTGGAATCCGAGGAAGTGAGGATGGTCGGGATATGGGGTCCCTCGGGAATTGGCAAAACTACCATTGCAAGAGCTCTATTTAGTCAACTCTCTTGTCAGTTTCAAAGTAGTGTTTTCATTGACAGGGTTTTCATATCTAAGAGTATGGAAGTTTACAGTGGAGCTAATCTTGTTGACTATAACATGAAGTTGCACTTGCAAAGAGCCTTTCTAGCTGAATTTTTTGACAAAAAGGACATAAAGATAGATCATATTGGTGCAATGGAAAATATGGTAAAGCACCGGAAAGCTCTCATCGTTATTGATGATTTGGATGATCAAGATGTGCTAGATGCTTTAGCGGGTCGAACTCAATGGTTTGGAAGTGGGAGTAGAATCATTGTGGTTACAAGAAATAAGCATTTTTTAAGGGCCAATGGGATTGATCACATTTACAAGGTCTGTCTCCCATCTAATGCGCTCGCTCTTGAGATGTTTTGTCGTTCTGCTTTTAGGAAGAGTTCTCCTCCTGATGGCTTTATGGAGCTTTCTTCTGAAGTCGCATTGCGTGCTGGTAATCTTCCTCTGGGTCTTAATGTATTGGGTTCAAATTTACGGGGCAGGGACAAAGGGTACTGGATAGATATGCTGCCAAGGCTTCAAGGTTTGGATGGAAAAATTGGGAAAACACTAAGAGTCAGCTATGATGGGTTAAATAACAGAAAAGATGAAGCAATATTTCGTCACATTGCATGTATATTCAATGGTGAGAAAGTCAGTGACATCAAACTGTTACTAGCAAATAGTAACTTGGATGTTAATATCGGGCTCAAAAACCTTGTTGATCGATCCCTTATCTGTGAAAGATTCAATACTGTGGAGATGCACTCTTTGCTACAAGAAATGGGTAAGGAGATTGTCCGTACTCAGTCCGATGAGCCTGGAGAACGGGAATTCCTTGTGGATTTGAAGGACATTTGCGATGTACTTGAAGATAACGCTGTAAGTTTTTTCCTGCTTTTTTTGCATAATCTCACGCTATGATTAAGTGCATGTCATTTCATATATGAAGAGTTGTAACTAGTTGGTCTTGTCTCTTTTTTGTTATTATAATTATAGGGTACTAAGAAGGTTTTAGGTATAACATTGGATATAGATGAGACTGATGAACTGCATATACATGAGAGTTCCTTCAAAGGAATGCACAATCTCCTTTTTCTAAAAATTTATACTAAGAAATTGGACCAGAAGAAAGAAGTTAGATGGCACTTACCGGAACGCTTCAACTATCTGCCCTCTAAACTTAGATTATTGAGGTTTGACAGATACCCATTGAAACGTCTTCCTTCTAACTTTCATCCTGAAAACCTGGTTAAGCTTCAAATGCAGCAGAGCAAACTTGAGAAGCTGTGGGAAGGAGTTCATGTAAGTTTTTAGTACTACTAGAATTAATATCGATATTGGAATACTTGTTTTACTTTTATAGATGACCATCCTTTGAAGTAATGTGTAACTTAGTTGCATATAATCCAGTCACTTGCAGGGCTCAGGAATATGGATTTACGGGGATCTAAAAACCTGAAAGAAATCCCAGATCTTTCGATGGCCACTAATCTCGAGACACTTAAACTCAGCAGTTGCTCGAGTTTGGTGGAACTTCCTTCATCTATTCAGTACCTGAATAAGCTGAATGATTTGGACATTTCATACTGCGATCATTTGGAGACTATTCCCACTGGAGTTAACCTCAAATCTCTCTACCGTCTCAATCTCAGTGGATGCTCACGGTTGAAAAGTTTTCTTGATATATCAACCAACATCTCATGGCTTGATATAGACCAAACAGCGGAAATTCCCTCTAATTTGCGTCTACAGAATCTCGATGAGCTGATATTGTGCGAAAGAGTGCAGGTATTTACGTTTGCTAACATTTAACTAACACTTATATAACAAACTAGGTCGAATTTCTTGAAATATCCCTTATGAGTATTTACTAGTTACATCTGTTTTCTAATTGCAATATTAATACAGATCGTATGTAAAAATATAATTAAACAACAATCAAAGGATGCAAATTGATTAAGGAAAGTTATTTTCAATTAGAGAGTGTCAAACTTGAAAGACAGTTTGCAGATGAGAAGTTACACGAAATAGTTATTTCTGATATTTGCAAATGAGTTTTAACATCTCTAAATTGTTTCTCTTTTGTTTTCATTTTTTGGTTTAGCTGCGTACACCTCTCATGACCATGCTTTCTCCCACTTTGACGAGGTTGACTTTTTCGAACAACCAAAGTTTGGTGGAAGTCCCTTCTTCAATCCAGAATCTCAATCAACTTGAGCATTTGGAAATTATGAACTGCAGAAATCTGGTGACTCTTCCCACTGGAATAAACCTTGAGTCTCTCATTGCACTTGATCTTTCTCATTGTTCTCAGTTGAGGACTTTCCCTGATATCTCGACCAACATCTCAGATCTCAAACTAAGCTACACAGCGATCGAAGAGGTTCCTTTGTGGATCGAGAAATTATCTCTCCTCTGTAACCTAGATATGAACGGATGCAGCAATTTACTACGTGTATCCCCAAATATTTCTAAACTGAAACATCTCGAGGGAGCTGACTTTTCAGACTGTGTGGCATTGACTGAAGCTAGTTGGAATGGTAGTTCAAGTGAGATGGCCAAATTTCTTCCACCTGATTATTTCTCAACGGTCAAGCTTAACTTCATCAACTGCTTCAACTTAGATCTAAAAGCTCTTATTCAAAACCAAACATTTTCCATGCAACTGATACTATCAGGTGAAGAAGTGCCTTCATATTTCGCTCACCGTACCACTGGGAGCTCTATCTCTCTACCTCACATCTCTGTCTGCCAATCATTCTTCAGTTTTAGGGGTTGCACCGTGATTGATGTCGAATCTTTTTCCACAATCTCTGTTTCATTCGACATTGAAGTATGTTGTCGGTTCATAGACAAACTCGGGAACCACGTTGATTCTACTGATTTTCCAGGATACTTCAGAACAACAAATTTGGGTGCTCATCTGGTTATCTTTGACTGTTGTTTTCCCTTAAACGAAGACACTACTACTTTTCTGGATGGTCAATTCAACTACGATCACATGGATATACAGTTTCGTCTCACGAATGGCAACTCTCAGCTCAAATTAAAAGGATGCGGCATTCTACTTTCTGAAGATGTTCCATCCCTGGATAACCAACCTTGCAGTCCAAATATTCTTCCAGATGTTTGTGAAGATAGCGCTGTAGAGAGGAGTTTCCGAACTAAAATGCGGACTAAGATGCGGATGGTAAGCATTTAGAATAGATTTGTACGTAGATAACTATTAATATCCCATACTAGATTGTCAGGACAAACAGAAAACTATTATACCTTTTAGTTGACTGGATGTTTTCTGCAGATGAGGAGGAGACTACTAAAGAAAGTACTGAATCGCTAGACAGCCAATTCGCAAGATACATAAAAGGATGTCTCCTATTAGGTTCATGTGGGACCTCCCCCTACAATATTCCTTCTTCGTGAAACTTCCACCTTATATAAGGTAACCCAAGAATCTCATAGACCATCTTATCTTAGTTACACATAAATCGCGTCACAGCCTGTGACTCACAGGCGTCTTATTTAAGTACCTATGAAATATTTTTGTGAAACAGAAACTATGACTGTGGACTTATCATGCTATGCTACAACTGTTATAGATTATAGAATTTGCAAGCATCATTGTAAGATCTAATGAAGAAGCTAGGAAGGGAGACATTCGTGAGAGCAGAGAATATGGAAAAGCTTTATTTTTTGTCAACAAAAGATTTTGTGAGTGGGAATGAGAATGAAGAGTGAGGAGAGAATGGTGTAGAGACGGAGGGAAGAAGGAAGCGAAAGCAGGTAATCATGAACTTAACATTCTCTGTGTTATGTGTTTATTTTCCAAGAGTAATGCGGAAAAGCATTCTATAGAATAAGATCACATTGGATTGTTTCTCTCTAAACCCTGATGCTAAAATCAGTAGGATCGTCAAACACAATTGAATTAAAATCAGTAGGCTTCTTTTGTAGAATAGAGATTGCATAATTACAGCCTTTTAGTGTCTCTTACAAAATGTTCAGACAGTTATTGATACTTGTTTAATACATCACAGTGTTCCAAGATGGATGTCTCTGTTTCAGACAAAAGTTTGCATATTCAGAGCCAAAGACTAAGCAAATGATGTTCTTCAAGTCTATCTCGAGTCATCGCAAACCAAGATAAGCATGAATTTATAGCCTCCAATGTTTTTTTTTTTTTGTTGATCCAACATGTCTGAAAAAATATCATCAAAATCAGATTATCTTTATTGTTGTTGGTAGTATTTGCTCATTTTAACAGAAGAAAGTCCTTGTGTGATAATATTTTGAAAATGTACATCAATTTTTTGGTTTAAATTACAAATGATTTCCCTTTTTTTTTTTTTTTGCTTCAATTACAATTAATTTTCTCGTGTCCACAGTATACTCATGTTTCTTATAAGTTATAACATTTTACAAACCAAAAGAGCACAGATAACGACAACAGCGAGGCCTCAGATTACAATGTGTATCACTACACATTTCTAAAGTGAAACATCTTGTTCATAAGGTTAACTTTTCAAATTGTGGGGGCATTGACTGAAGCTGGCTGGAGTGATAGTAGTCTAAGTGCTGTGGCTAGGGAACATGCAATAATCACTCTAGATTACCAGTTCTTGACGAGGCTTCCTCTTCGTTTGCAACAGCAACATACAATCTTCACTCTAAGTTACCATTCCATCACGAGGCTTTCTCTTCTCTTCCAAATTATTATGTCTTAAGAGTCCAGCTTCATTTCGTCAATTGCTTCAAGTTGGATCATGAAGCTCTCCTTCAGCAACAGTCAGTTTTCAAGGAACTGAGATTGTAAGGTGAAAAAGTGCCTTCATATTTCACTCACCAAACTACTGGAAACTCTCTCACCAATATCCTCTACCTCATCACTCTCTTACTCCCGACCGTTCTTCAGGTTTAGGGCTTGTGCCGTGGTTGATGTCGATAAAGTTTAGAAAGATTGTTTAAGAACTCAAAAATAAAGAATAACTCTCTTTATTAATCACCAAAGAAAATAACTCAAAACTTTGGTCTCTCTCTCAATCTCTTAAACACAATCTCTCAAACTCTCTCTCAAAACTCATAAGGTTTACCATACCTTGGTAGCTCTATATATAGAGAGAATTCTAACACAATTTCCTAATCCAAATAGGTAAACTAACTTATTTAGATATCTCCTAAATAGAACTATTCCTAATTGGATTAGAATTTTTTTTTTCCTTAAGTTTCCTTCTTCTTCTTCAAGCTTATCCCAACATTCTCTCCCTTAAGCTTGAAGTCACCTCCACTCACATCTTCAACTCCAATAAGATCTCTCATTTCTTTAATCTTAATCCTTCCAAGTGTCTTTGAAGTAGCATCTTGCTCCTTTCTTAAAGACTGATTCTTTTCTTCATTCACATTTTCAAGTTCATTCTTCAGTTTCTCTATCTCTTTCTCAATTTTAGAGAATTCTTCTTAAGCAATACCTAGTTGCTGTTCAGATTCATCACGATCCTTCTTTTCTTTAGAAACAGTCATCTCCAATAACGAGATTTTATCCTTAAGATCAGTAATCTCAGATTCCATATCGAGCAATCTACCATTGCTTCCTTCCAGCTGCTTTGTCACAAATAACAGAGATGCCGAGGCAGATCTCTCCAGCTTGTTAGCTTCTTCCAATCGTTTCTCCAATTCTTTTGCTTTGTTTTGCCATTCTTCAAGTTCTTCTTTTAGCACATACAACTGAGTTGTGAAGTCTTGTTCAACAGCTCCACCAACATCACCTTCCAGTACACTCACCTTCTCTAAATTATCTTTTTCAAGTTCAGAAATCATCTTCTCTTTCTCACTCACACCCCTTTCTAAAGCATTCACAATTGAAGTCTTCTCCGCAACCTCTAATCGCAAATTACTGATAGCAGATTCCAACTGAGGAACTTCAATATAATTTCGTTGGTCCATCTGTCGTTGCAACATCGGACATTTAAATTGCTCATGTTCATCGTCTTCCTCCTCAATTACAGGAAGTTCTTCACTTTCACTTTCATCCGCCTCTTCTGCGATCTGCTCTGTTTCTTCTCTGTTTGAATTTTCTCCCATGCTCTGTTCAGGAAGCTCTTCACTCTCGCTTTCTTTATTTACACTCTCAAGATCCTTTGATAGATTCTCCTTCTCCTTCAATGCTTCATCTCGTTCTCGGTTAGATTCTCGGTTTCAACTTCCATGTTCACTTTGTACAACCTGTTCTTTGATCGATTTGCTTTCACCAACAGATTTCCATCACGATCATGTAGAGTTAAGTAGCCTTTCTTCATTCTTACATCACATCCTGCTTCGGTTGCTTGCCCCAGACTTAAGATATTACTTTTAAGCTCAGGTATGTAATAGACATTGGCCAAGATTTTTCTTTCTCCTTCTTTTGTTACAAACAAGATTGGACTTGTGCCTTTGATATCAATTCGTGAATCATCACCAAACCTCACCTTTCCTGTGATAGTCTCATCAATCATGGAAAACCAAGCACGATTCCCTGTCATATGATTACTCGCACCATTATCCAAGTACCAAGCGTTCTCTGAATCTTTTTCGAAGTCTTTAGGCTTTACATTCTTCTCGTTGAGATACACCACCTCATGCATCATGAGTGATTCAGCTTCTTGCGTGTTATCTCCTTCATTCTCTTCAGATTCTTGAGCCTTGATTAGTTTTAGTAGACGATCTGGACATTCGGATGCGTAATGCCCTTGTTTATCACACCTGAAACATGTAATCTTGGATTTATCCAAAGATTGATATCCGAATCTTCCTCGACCTCTTCCGCGACCACGACCTTGACCTCTACCTCTTCCACCTTCTTGTGATGGCTGTGAGTAAGAATTAGCGTACATGAGTTTGCTTTGGTCTTCTTCTGCCTCTTCTTCATCACAAATTCTTTCTTCATACGTCTTCAATCTTCCTACAATATCTTCAAACGATGTTGTTTTAAGATCGAGAAATTGTTCAATAGCTGCAATTATGCTAATGTATTTTTTTCGTGGTAAGCTCTTGAGAAATTTCTTAACGATCTTTGTCTCCTCAATGGTTTCACCCAACGATGCAGATTTTGTGGAAATTTCTGAAAGTTTTCCAACAAACTCGTCGATGGTGTCGCCTTCCTTCATCTTCAACCTATCGAACTCGGCCATGAGAGTCTGCAGTCTTGCCTCTCGTACCCTATCAGCACCGAGATTTCTAGCTTTAATCGCATCCCAGACTCCTTTAGCAGTTGCTTGTTTTCCAACCTGTAAGATTAGAGATTCGGGAATTGATTGAAACAGAAGAGCTCGGGTTAGATCGTTTTTCTCTTGATTGTCAGAGCCCGGATCAATCGTTTCCCAAGCTTTGTGCACACGTAGAGTAGCCTCCATCCTCATGCTCCATACAGTGTAGTTTGAGTTACTCAACATCGGACATTTAACGGATGAAGCTACTCCTTCTTTTGGTTTGGCTACAACGATATCACCCATCTTTGCTAAGTAGTTTCTCCTCTCTCACGTCTGAATGGATCTCACCGCTCTGATACCAAATAAAGTTTAGAAAGATTGTTTAAGAACTCAAAAATAAAGAATAACTCTCTTTATTAATCACCAAAGAAAATAACTCAAAACTTTGGTCTCTCTCAATCTCTTAAACACAATCTCTCAAACTCTCTCTCAAAACTCATAAGGTTTACCATACCTTGGTAGCTCTATATATAGAGAGAATTCTAACACAATTTCCTAATCCAAATAGGTAAACTAACTTATTTAGACATCTCCTAAATAGAACTATTCCTAATTGGATTAGAATTTCTTTTTTCCTTAAGTTTCCTTCTTCTTCTTCAAGCTTATCCCAACAGTCGAATCTATTACCTTTCCTTGTTTTCCATTCGACATCCAGATATGTTGTCGGTGCATAGACAGACTCGGGAACCACTTTGATTCTGCTGATTTTCCACAACGCTTCTATACATCAAAGTTTAATGGTCGTCTGGTTATATTCGACTGTTCTTTCCCTCTAGCCGATCAACTTAAACTACAATCACGTGGATATACAGTTTCGTTTCATTGCTGAAGACTCTACATTGAAACTAAAAGGATGCGGTGTACTACTTCTCGGGAACGATCCATTCCTGGGTAACCAACCTTGTAATCCAGATATTATTTCACATAATTGTGAAAGAAGCACACACAATAATGTTAACTTGGGAGACCATGAGACTCAACACAATCAAGAGCATGGAAATAGTGGTGTAGATAGAAAGATAAGCAGGACGAAACTGCGGGTGGTAAGTATATGTCATAAACTGCATACTGTATTGTTAAAATAGATGCAATAATTCTTTTTCAGGACAAAACCTGAAACTATTAATCGTTGACAGGATTATTTTCTGCAGATGAAGATGAGAAGAATACTCAAGAAACTACTGAGTTCCTATGCAGAAAATTCGCAAGATACATAGGAGGATGATCATGTGGGAATTCCCTCCTTAGCGCATTCCTTCTTCGAGAAAACTTCTACGTTATTAGGTAACTCAAGAATCTCATAAGCACATCGTATCCTAGTTCCACATAAATCGTATCACTAGGCATCTTAATTAAGAGCCTATTGAATATATTTCTGCCACTGTCAAAGGAACTGGTCCAGTTGGTAATCCTAACAAAATTTATCAAGTACCAAATTAAAGCAATTATGAAACAGAAACTATGAATCGATTCTATAGCTCCATTATGTCTGAGGGCTGTAGTTATTATTTAAATCTATTGTGGTTCTTGGAATCTTCTCATTGTACTCGCTAACTTATCTTGCTATGTTATCTTATATAATATGACAATGTTTCTTCAAAACAAGCTCTAAGAATGTCACATTTGACACTCTACTCTTTTGACTCATGTCATTTTCAGTTTATTTTTTAATTTGAATGCAATAAATTTGTTTAATTGATTTTTGAGAATAATAACCACAATAGTCCTCAAATCAAATTATAAAATAAAATCAAAATTATTTAATGATAAAATAATTAAATTATATTTTTGAATAAAGAGATATTTTCCTACACTTTATTTTTATTGTTTTCCACATAATTTATAGTAAAAACCATAATTTATTTGGCGATAAAATATATTCAAACTATTCCCACACATCGCGTGGATCTTTTTCTAGTTTATAAATAAATTGCACTTAGAAATTAGAGCTTAAGAGTTCCGGACAAAGAAAAAGAAAAAGAGGTTAGAGTTTGCTTGATAGTACCAAAAGAACACAGAAAAGGAGAAAAAATGTAAAAAAGAATTGACTATTAAAACCTTGCCCCTTGGGAAACCGATCTGGTCAAACCGTGATTAATTTAAGTCAACACAGATTGAAACTTTCGTCGACTTGCATTAGAAAAATCCGAGAAATTAATCTGCTAATAACTTAGTTTTCTTCTCACAATCTCAATCGCAAAAGTCTTCGTCTCCTTCCTAAAATTAGTTTCTATCTCTCTCTCTCTCTCTCTCTAGCTCTCTCTATGGATCCTTGGTCTTCTTCTTACAATTGGGTATATGATGTTTTCCCGAGCTTCAGTGGGGAAGATGTCCGCCTAACTTTCCTCAGCCACTTGCTCAAAGAGCTTGATCGTAAAATGATCATTGCTTTCAAAGACAACGAGATCCCGAGAGGCCAGTCGCTCGATCCTGAGCTTAAACAGGCGATTCGGGATTCTAGGATCGCAGTCGTCGTGTTCTCGAAAAATTACGCCTCTTCGACTTGGTGCCTTAACGAGTTGCTGGAGATCGTGCAATACAAGGAAGAGTTTGGTCGTCAAATGGTGATACCGGTTTTCTACGATTTGGATCCATCCCACGTGAGGAAACAAACCGGAGACTTTGGAAAGATATTTCAAGAGACTTGCAAGAACAAAACAGAGGACGTGATAAATCGATGGAAGAAAGCGTTGACCGACGTTGCTAATATCCTCGGATATCATTCTGTAACTCAGTATGTTTCTATAAACCATTGTTTTGTGCTTTGATTTATGGGATTTATCGTGAGCGAACATTGTTTCATGTTCGTGAAATTATTTTTTCTCCTTGTTAGGGTTAACGAAGCAAAAATGATTGAAGAAATCGCAAATGATGTTTCCGGTAAACTGCTTTTAACTACATCAAAGGATTTTGAGGACTTTGTCGGCATCGAGGATCATATTGCAAATATGAGCGAATTGTTGGAACTGGAATCTGAGGAAGTGAGAATGCTTGGTATTTGGGGTTCCTCAGGGATTGGCAAGACTACCATCGCAAGAACTCTGTTCAACCGTATATCTCGACACTTCCAAGGTAGCATTTTCATAGACAGGGCTTTCATATCTAAGAGTATGGAAAGTTACAGTAGAGCCAATCCGGACGACTATAACATGAAATTGCACTTGCAAGGAAATTTCCTATCTAAACTTTTGAAGAAAAAGGACATAGAGATAAATCATTTAGGTGCATTGGAAGAGAGACTAAGGCATCAAAAGGTTCTTATCTTTATTGATGATTTAGACGATCTAATGGTGCTAGAAGTCTTGGCGGGTCAAACTCAATGGTTTGGATGTGGGAGCAGAATCATTGTGGTTACAACTGATAAGTATTTTCTAACGGCCCATGATATTGATCTTATTTACGAGGTGGGTCTCCCTCCTATCAAACTAGCTCTAGAGATGTTCTGTCGATCTGCTTTCAAGCAGAAATATCCACCTGATGGTTTGATGGAGTTTGCTTCCGAAGTTGTAAACCGTGCTGGTAGTCTTCCTTTGGGTCTTAACGTTTTGGGTTCGTCTTTGCGAGGATTGAACAAGGATGACTGTATGAATATGCTGCCTAGGTTTCGAAGAAGTCTAGATGGTAAAATTGAAAAAACACTTAGAGTCAGCTATGATGGGTTAAGTAGAGAAGAAGATAAAGCGATATTCCGACACATCTCATGTCTTTTCAATCATGTGGAAACCAAAGACATCAAACTGTTTCTTGCAGATAGTGAGTTGGATGTTAATATCGGGCTGAAAAACCTAGTTGATAAGTGCCTCATTCATGAAAGATGGGGTAAAGTGGAGATGCACTGTTTGCTAGAAGAAATGGGTAGAAATATTGTTCGCATACAGTCCATTGACAAGCCTGAAAGACGGGAATTTCTGGTGGATTCAAAAGATATATGTGATGTACTCACTCGAGCCATTGTAAGTTTTTCTTAGTTTTCATGGTGCTCCTTTCATTGCGCAGTATATATATGTAGACGTTTGTGTAAGTTTATGATTTTTTTTCTTTTTCTTATTGACATTATTTTATTTTTAGGGTACTCAAAAAGTTTTAGGTATATCATTGGATACATGTGAGATTGATGAGTTGCATGTCACTACAAGAAATCAGCCCATTAACGACTACAACATTAGTCGTAAATTAGTCGTTAAACATGAAAAGACGACTATCATACGACAAATATATATAGTCGGAAATCCGTAGTCGCTAAACTGTTTAGTCGTTAAATTAGTCGTTATTTTGCGACTAAATTACGACTATATATGATGAGTCGCCACATTAGTCGTAACATAGTCGTAACTATAATACGACTAACTTACGACTATGCTACGATTAAACCGCATGTATAGTTGGTCTCCTAAGTGTAGTCGTAACTTAGTCGTAAAGTTTTAGTGACTATATTACGACAATTTGGCGACTAATAATACGACTACGTTTATTAGTGACTACGTAGTCGTTAAATTTTGTGTCTAATATGCGACTATTAGACTACTATTTTTACGACTATTAGGCGACTATGTAGGTTGATAGAACAAAAGTTTGGTAAGACCTGAATTATAATTTGTTACGGTTCTGATTGTCATTCTATATCTATTTTTAAATATCAAAATTAACTTTTAAGGAAAGCAATAATAACCTAATCATAATAACAACAATTACAAAGGAAATACACATTAAGTTCGTGTTCAAACCATTTAAACATAGCAAACTACAACAGTTACATATCACACATAATGTTCACGTCAATGTTCAAGGGAAAAGGAATAGAGTTGGGAAATAGAGCAACCTATGGATCTTGTTGGGGAGTTGGCTCTGTGGTACCAGCTGAAGAAGAATGAGTGGCCATGAAGTGGAGGAATTGAGGATCAGTTTGACGCAGATACTTCTCCACCAAGGACAAGTGCTCGAGCTTGTCCTTTTGCTCAGCCGCGACTCGAGCTTGCTCAGCTTCACGGGAAGCAACCTCAGACTCTCGCCTTTCATTATATGCAACCTGCTCTTCTATTTTGCGGTGAGCATCCTTTAGCTGTTCTTCCAGAGCTTGAAAGGATGATGAGTCTCCAGGGTACTTGCGATTGCCACTGACAAGAGTGTTCTTCAGATTTCCGATTCCATACGGATTTCCCCTTGCATCTCTCTCAGTGGACTGTGAAAAGAAACATAAAGGCAAAGATTAGAGAATAACAACTTAAACTGCAAGACTATATGAATGCGTTTTGGGAAAATGAACCTGAAGAAAAATGGTGGTTTTCTCCTCTGTTGTGAGCTCCCGAGCTCGTGAAGTGCCATCAGAAACTGCAGAAGTATCTGCCTCTAGCTCATTCAACCTATCAAGCACATTCTGCTCATAAGTTTTTGCAATCTTCTCCGCTTTCCGATCAACATATGTACCATCCGGCCTTGTATGTGTCTTGATGAAAACTTCACCAAGACTTACCGGTCTTCCCAATTCCTCTTCCTGCAATGTAACCAAATAAACATATATTAACATCTCCAAAACAGATGTCTGAATTCATAGTTACAAAGTTTAATAACAAGAAGTAACAGAATTAAACTTACCATCTCGTCTTGGATTTCTTGATAAGACTTAGGCCCTGAGAAGTGGATGTGAGGACCGATACCGTTGCGGTCAGACATACGAGCATTGGAATAGGTCTTACTCCTTTCCTGAGCTTCTTCTGTGTCCCAGTAAGCGCACATTGTTTCCCAGAGAGTATTGCCAATCCACGTAGGTTGAACTCGAGAAGTCCTAACGCCGCTAACCATGTCTTTCATGCGGCGTGCGATGATCTCCTCGAAGTGATATTGCACAGTCCCTGTGATTAATGGATCCCAGGTGTGTGTTTTCTACAAAAAAAAAGAGATAATGTGAGTGAAAAAAACACAAAAATTCTACATAGTCATGGATATAAGACAGAACACTGTACCGCAAACTCGAGAAAGTATCTTTCTTGTCTATCCCGAGGCACACATGACCAGCTATAGAAAGGACCATCGAATTTGTTTGTAAAAATTTTAGTAATCTTCCGAACCAGTCTCGATTTCTTGTCGCGAGTAAACCTCCAAACACATGAAACAATCAAAGAAGAAAAGAAGTTATCAAAACTCAACATCAGAAAAATTAAAAAAGGTTACAAATAGAAATAAGGAGATAAAACAAAGGAAACCAGAGAGTGTTGCCACATAGTCTCACCAAAACAGAATATCAGAAACCTAAACTTAAGCAAATAATCGGAGAACTATGGTTAAAACAGTCACATTCACAAAACTCATAAACCATCACAGAATTAAGCATAAAACAGTCACATTAGTCATCACACAACTCTTAAACCATCAGATAACTACTCATTACCCATCAGAGACATTGACGGAATTCTACACAAGTATGAAAAAACAAGTTCACATTAAACATCACTCATTACCAAACACATTCACAGAATTTAGAATCTTCTACTACTCATTACCATTCAGAGAACATAACAAACAAATCCACAATTCTACAGTTGTCTAAAACAACAAATCCACAATTTTCTACCCGTCACAACAGAGTTTGTTTCATACCATTTCGTATTTGGTCGGGGTTTGAAAGACAGGACAGTGGTGACGAGTTCCCTATCTGGCACCGCAAGCAACGCATTGAGAGCACGCAGCGAGTCCTCCTGGAGCTCTGGCAACACTGGAGGATATTCTTCTTGGAAGTTGTTGCCTTGAGAAGACGGATGGCTGTGAGCCTGAAAGTTCTGATTTGGAGAATTTTGATCTTCCTCCTGAAGATTGGGTTGTGTAGGTGGATTAAACTGGACTTCTTCAGATCGAGCCGGTGGATCTACTTCACGTTGTTGATTGGTGGAGTTCTGGAAAAGTTGAACCGGCGGCGGATAGTTGCGGAAGTGGGGAGCTGTCGTCGGCTGGCCTTGCAAATTGGCCTGAGGTGCTTCAGGCGACTGCGTCGGAGGAACTTGAACCGCCGCCGGCGTGAAGTTGTACTGTTGAGGTAGCGTGCTTGGTCGTTTGGAAGGCGCTGACCCACCGGCTCGCTGAGACACGTTAGGGATTGTTTTTCGCTTTCGTCCTCGTCCTCCACCGGCGTTAGGCATCGTAGAATCAAAAGACAGAGTAAACAGAATCAAACTAGGGTTTACAGAAGAAAGAGATTGGAGATCGAAGAACTAGGGTTTACAGAATCAAAAAAGGAATGAAGCAGAGAGATTGGAGATCGAATTAAAAGCAGAGAGATGAGAGATCGAAGGTAGAAGCAGAGAGATGAGAGATCGAATTAAAAGCAGAGAGATGAGAGATCGAATGTTTAGAGAAAGCGGAGAAAACGAAGAAGAAAGATCGAGAAGAATGAAGAACTAGGGTTTCTCTTCATTTTTACCAAGTGTTAGTGGGCTTTGGCCTCGTAAAAGGCCCAAATATTTTGAGTAGTCGCTTTTTAGTCGCTTTTTAGTCGCTCCTTCATTTTGGGTTTGGGCCTCCTAATTTGTTAGCCCAATATTAGTCGCGTTTTAGTCGGTAAAAAATCACTACTTAATTTTTTCATAATTAACATAATTTAACTAATTAAACATAATGGGATTCAGTAAAATAATAATTAAACATGTTTTATTTATAATTTTAATAATCTTCAGACCATGTTTCGTCATCGTCAGAAGACGATAAATTACACTGGAATTCATCTTCTGGTTCAGCATCATCAACATCGTAATCGAGGATTATTGGGTCAAAATCTTCAACTCGATTGTCAAGTACAATATCTTCAATTGTAGTCAGCAAAACACCATCATCATTTTCTGTTTGCAAAAGAGTTGGATCGTCATTGGTTTCATATTCTCCTGAAATGTTTCCCTTCGGATTCACTTTTAGAACATTGAGCCAAATGCTCTTTGGTTTCTTCGTATATGGATAAGGAATATAACAAACTTGATCTGCTTGAGAAGCTGTATACAAAAGTTATTCATGTATAAATATATATACGGAATATATATGTTTTAAATATATAGAATTTTAATATACAAGTATACGTACCTAGAACAAATGGCTCGTATTTATTGTATTTTCTCGTTGATAGAACGTCTACAACGCCACTTTGGCTCCGCCGAGTGCCTCTACCGATAACAGGGTCATACCAATTACACTTAAAAAGTGTGATCCTCAAATTGACCATGCCCTCATACTGGAGTTCTATGATATCAATTAAGTTCCCATGGAAATCCGCTGAATCAGATGCATCCGCGTAATTTTCACCTTTAACACTTACCCCATAGTTACATGTCTTTCGTCCAGCTCCGTGATTCTGCGTATGAAACAAATAGCCTCTTGTAAAATACATTGGCCAAGTTTTAACCTTGTTCAAAGGTCCATGTACAATCTCTTGAACCCAAGTAGGAAATGGAGAAGTATCGTTCCAATATGTAACCTATATATAAACACACATCAATATATATAATTAGAAATTGAAATACATGATCATCACTTAACCCAATTAAAAAAAATATGTTGACATACATAATCTTTAACCCATAATTGATATTCTTCAGCTCTTTTTGTGTATAGTTCTTTCTCGGTCAATTCTGGATATTTTGCAGAAAGAAAATCCTCGAACATACTATACAAACACAAAAAATATATGAATAATCATAGTGGATATTGTAAATTAAAGAGTGATTTTTGGAAGATATGTTTTATACCTCTCAATTGGTTGAAAATAGGCACAATTTCGTAAAACATATGCATGTGCGCTTTGGTAGTCTTTCTCTGAAAGCCATACTTCACGCATTTCTCCACTTGGACGGCCGACTTGCGTAAATATGTTAGGTACCCCAGGAACATGATATACAGGAACTTCACCTTCATCGAATCTTGTTAACCTGATCCAAATTGACGAGTTAATATGTTAGAAGTACATGCCAAATATAAACATATATATATATATATATATATACACATTTACCTTGATTTTGTTTGTATATGTTCTGCAAAGTAGTGCTCTGAAAAATAAGCAATCTCGTCATTGATATATGATTCAACAATTGATCCTGCAGCATATCTTTTGTTCTTTGCTTTTCCTTTCAACTTTTTGAAAAATCTCTCAAAAGGATACATCCATCTATATTGGACCGGGCCGCCTAATTCAGCTTCGTAAGGGAGATGTATAGGCAGGTGCTCCATCACATCGAAAAATGATGGTGGAAAGATCTTTTCCAAGTTGCATAAGATTAAAATAATATTCTGTTTTAGAATTTGAACACGACTTTTCTGTAAAGTCCTCGAACATAAGTCCCGGAAAAATGCTCCAATCCCTGAAATATATATTCAAATTACATATATTAGATAAAATACTAGAATAATATATTGTTAAGTGTCGCAAATAATAAGTAATTAGTAGTACCTGATAACGCAAGGTGTACGTTCCGGTCAAGGAGTTCTGCAAAGATAAATGGAAGTAGTCGCTCCATAAAAACATGGCAATCATGACTCTTCATGCCTGAAAACTTACCATTCTCCATATCTACACAAGTAGCCAAATCTGAGGAATAACCATCTGGGAATTTAACCGAATGTTTCACACATTCCAATAAACTCGCTTTGGCTTGGTCTGTCAATATATATGCTGGGAATGGAGCTTTACCCTTACTATCAATATGTAAGGCTGGCCGAGAACAAAATTTTTCAATATCCAATCTTGACATGATGTTGTCTTTTGATTTACCTTTCACACTCATAAGAGTATTCATGATGTTGTCCAGAAAATTCTTCTCTGTATGCATCACATCAATATTGTGTCGCAGATTGAGATCTTTCCAGTAAGGCAGCTCCCATAATATGCTTTCCTTGTGCCAGTTATGTTCCTTCCCATAGCCTGGCATCTTTTTTTCATGACCGTTGCCACCAACGTCCTTGGTTTTTGGTGGATTTACGCCATCCAACCGCTCATAATAAACTTGCTCACCGGTCAAAGATTCAGGTGGATACTCTTTAGAAGCGTCTCTTCCTTTAAGGAAGTCTTTTTTGTTTTTCCGTAATGGATGACCATGAGGAAGAAATCTTCGGTGACAATCAAACCAACATGTCTTCCTTCCATTAGGTAGATAAAATGACTTTGTACTTTCCATGCAAATTGGACAAGACAGTTTACCGTGTGTGGTCCATCCTGATAACATGCTATACGCCGGAAAATCGCTTATCGTCCACATCAGCACTGCTTTTAGATTAAAATTTTGATTCAATGACACATCAAATGCATCAACTCCAGTAGACCACAACTCTTTTAGCTCCTCAATAAGAGGTTGGAGGAAGACATCGAGACTACCTCGCGGGTGATTTGGCCCAGAGTTCAGAATTGTGAGAAACAAGTACTCTGTATTCATGCACATACCTGGGGGTAAATTATATGGAGTCAGGATCACAGGCCACAACGAATGATTACGAGACATGCCAAATGGATTGAACCCATCTGTACATAAGCCAAGATATACATTTCGGGGTTCTTCCGCAAACTCGGGATTTTGCTCTTGGAAATATCTCCACTCTGCCGCATCTGAAGGATGATTCATTTCTCCTTCCTTTGATTGGTGCTCGGAATGCCATCGCATTGCCGCTGCTGTCTTGTGGCTCTGATACATTCTCTTCAATCGGTCACCAATAGGTAGATACCACATTCGACTATATGGTACTTTGGTTCTACGACGATCATCCTTAGGCTTCCATCTTTGTGCACCACAAAACCGACATTGATCTTCTTTTTCAGTTTCTTTCCAGAAAAGCATACAATTGTTCATACAAACATCAATTGTATGATATGGAAGACCTAAATTGCGCATCAATTTTTCGGTCTGGTAATGCGAACCGGTTGCCTGGTTTCCTTCTGGTAAAAAATCTGTCAACATTTGGCAAACCGAATCCACTAACTTTTCACTCATATTATACTCTGCCTTATTATGCATGAGTCGAGCAGCTAACGATAACTGCGATTGACCTTCACGACAACCATCGTATAATGGGTTTTGTGCACCTTCTAACAAGTCGTAAAATTTATTTGAATGGTTACGTACTGGTTCTTCGACATTCTGATAACCTGTATCCTGATCATAGTTATCATCAAACCCCACGTTATAACGAAATGCATCGTTCACCATATCCACATAAGGATCTTCTACAACATAACCCACCTCTTCATGATTCTCACTTTGATATGTCCTATCAGTGTGACTCGTTCCTATATCCATATTGAGTTCTTCCCCATGTCTATACCAAACATAATAATCTGGCATAAATCCTTGACTAAACAAATGACTACTAACTCTTCTACCCGAGACCATATGTTTTTCATTCTTGCACACACTACAAGGACAGTGAAATTTACCGCGGTTACTCTGTACTATAGGCTGGCTATTAGCAAACGTCATGAATTCCTCCACACCGGCTACGTACTCTGCTGACAAATTTCCCGTTACTTCGTCGAACCGCTTGTACATCCACTCCCGATAACCACCATTACCGCCATAATTGTAATTTCCCGTCATTACCAATAAAATATAAAGAAACTAATTTTTTGAAAAGTGTTTATTCCAAATTCGTTTTTTTTTTTCGAATTCGTTTTTTTTTCTTATGTGAAGGAAGAGAGAGGAGATGAGTGAAGAGAGTGAGTGCTGTTTTCTTTTATATAGACAATTTTTGGGCGACTAATTGGCGACTAAAAGTTGTAGTCGCCAAAAAACCGGTACACCTACCACAAACGAAAAAAACGTGTTTTTTAACTGTAAAATACGACAAATTGGCGACTAATTTACGACTCGCCGAAAGAGTCGTAATGTAGTCGCCAATTTAGCGACTAATATATACTGTCGGAAAATAGTCGCTAAATTAGCGACTAATATACGACTATAATATATATTCTACTTATTAGTCGGTAAATAGTCGCCAAATAGCGACTACATTACTGACAACCTGTTTTCGTCGCTCTTTGGCGACTAACTTATGACTACTTTGCTTTAGTCGTTAAATAGTCGTAAAATTGTGACACAATAGTCGGTAAAATTGGCGACTACATTAATAGTCGGAAGCTGTAGTCGGTAATCGACTGTTTTCTTGTAGTGTGTACATGAGAATGCTTTCAAAGGGATGCGTAATATCCGTTTCCTAGAAATAAAGAAATGTCCTTCCAAAGAAGTCAATTTGCACTTACCTGAAAGCTTCGACTATTTACCCCCTAAACTTAAACTATTGTGTTGGCCCGATTATCCAATGAGATCTATGCCTACTACGTTTAGTCCTAAAAACCTCATCAAGATCAAAATGCAGTTTAGCAAGCTAGAAAAGCTATGGGAAGGAGTTGCGGTAAGCGTTGAAAATAATTGTTATGTTATTAATGTAGCGTAATTATACTGCTTAATTATTTCACTTTTTAGATAACAAATTGACAATCATGTCACTGAGCTCTGTGTTTTGTTTGGTTGAGTACAGTCGCTTACATGTCTCAAGGAAATGGATTTGTATGGATGTGCATACTTGAAAGAAATCCCAGATCTTGCAATGGCCGCTAATCTGGAAACACTTATTCTTGTGTTTTGCGTGAGTTTGGTAAAGCTTTCTTCCTCAGTACAAAATCTCAACAAACTGACGACATTGGACATGAAGTTCTGCATGAGTCTGGAGACTCTTCCAACCTTCATTAACCTCAAATCTCTCAACTACCTTGATCTCAAAGGATGCTTGCAGTTGAGGAATTTACCTGAAATCTCAATCAAAATCTCAAAGCTAATTCTAAACGATACAGCCATTGAACAAATCCCTTGTAATTTGCGTCTTGAGAATCTGGTTGAGCTTCAAATGAGAAACCTAATGGGTGAGAAACTAAGGAAAGGGGTGCAGGTATGTAGTTCCAATCTTTTAACGTTTTCTATTACTAACAATCTTACCAGAAATGACCGTGGCTAGGTATAATTAAGGAAGTTAGCTATTATATTGAATTAGTTTAAGAAATTTCTTTTTCAATTTGTAATTCTTTGGTTGTTGAAATATATATTTGTTTGAGCTAATTACAGAATTTAGCAATTATTCGTATATTCAAATATGTTATGAACATATGTTTGGTATATAATAATACCAAATTCAACCCGTGCATGGAGTCTATATATACATTTGAATCCCAGTGAAAATATTGCGTGTATAATCTATTACTCGTCATTTTCAAAATTGCTTGCATAATCAAATTTTCAAATAATTAGAGGTGTCAAACCTTATTTAACCCATCTCATTATATAATCTTAACATATCATCTGTTATAAGGATCATAACTCTTTCTATCATATAATACACTACACTTAACATGCCGCCTGCTATAAATATTTTAAATATATACTCAACAAAAATAGTTTTCTCTTTCTAGAAGTGGTGTACAAATATGTGAAGGTGTACGATGTTGTAGATGGTGCGCAAGGTAGTGTATAGTGTGACCCACTATCTCATCGTTTCATGTACACCATATTTTACATCATTTCAATATATTTTGTAATTGTACACTATTATAAATTGTCGATTGTACACCACCTTATACACTGTCATACCATGTATACCACTTCTTACATCAGTATCATACATTATTTTTACATTATCACCATACCATTTGTACACCATTTTTTCCATTATCACATACATCGTTGGGTTGATATTAAATAAAAAAATGTCACATCTACAAATACATAAAAATTGGATTTTTTAGATTCGCAGAAATTTTTTAGGGATTAATATGTTTTGTGGTAAATTTTTTATTCAAGAATTTCTACCAAAACAAACTAAAAATATTGTAAAAAAAAAAGTTTCTGACTTTATGTCATTATGTAGCAAATAAAAACTAAAAAAGAATAAATAAGTCGTTTACAATTATTTCTATTAGAAAAAGTTATATTAGAAAGGATAGAAAAATGTCTATTTTTCAATTTAAAAATAAAACTTTTACGTATTTTATAAATATTTGTGGAAATACTGTCTACTTTACAAATTTTCTAAATTGTTAACATATGACATATCTAAATTGATTATTTGGTTCAGCCGTTTATGCCCCTCCAGGCGATGCTGTCTCCCACTTTGACGAAGTTGCAGCTAGAGAATATGCCAAGTTTGGTGGAGCTTCCTTCTTCGTTTCAGAATCTCAATCAACTAAAATATTTGCACATCCAATACTGCATAAATCTAGAGACTCTGCCCACCGGAATCAACCTCCAATCTCTTGTTAACCTTAATTTCAAGGGATGCTCACGGTTGAGGAGCTTTCCTGAAATCTCAACCAACATCTCAAGTCTCGATCTAGACGAAACAGGGATTGAAGAGGTTCCTTGGTGGATCGAGAACTTCTCTAACCTTGGTTTGCTAAGTATGGATCGTTGCAGCAGGCTAAAATGTGTATCCTTACACATTTCTAAACTGAAACATCTTAAGAAAGCTTACTCTTCTGATTGTGGGGCATTGACTAGAGTTGATTTGAGTGGATATGAAAGTGGGGTGGAGATGATGGAAGCAGACAATATGTCCAAGGAGGCCTCTTCTTCTCTTCCTGATAGTTGTGTCCCCGATCTCAATTTCTGGAACTGCTTCAACTTGGATCCAGAAACTATCCTGCGCCAACAATCAATTATTTTCAATTACATGATATTTCCAGGGAAAGAAGTGCCATCATATTTCACTCATCGTACAACCGGAATATCCTCTCTAACCATCCCTCTACTCCATGTTCCTCTCTCCCAGCCAATCTTCAGATTTAGGGTTGGTGCAGTGGTAACTAATAATGACGAAGTACATATCAAGGTAAAATGTGAGTTCAAAGGCATATGTGGGAACAGCTTTGATGTCTGCTCTGATTTCTATGTTTATACAAATTACAAGGAAGTTCGGGAGGGTGGTCATATGTTAACTATATTGGACTGTCGTATCCCCCTAAACGAAGATAATACTCCCTTAGCTCAACGGGACTACGATCACGTGGATATGCAGATTGATGCAAGTGATGATTGTATAAAAGGATGGGGTATACGACTCTTAGAAGACTGTTCATCACCGGAGAACCAACTTGGTAATCTAATCAATATTAAAGGACTTGTGAAGTCTGGAGACATCAATGTAGAGACAGAGAGAAGCAGAAAGCGAATGCGGGTAACTATTAAGCATGAATTATAACATATTATATATATATATATATATCGTAACTATTTTGCAAGATCAATCAAATACTATTTTTATATAACAGATCACTGGATTTATTTCTTTGCAGATTATGTAAAGGACCACTAGAGAAACCTCAAGATGAACACGTACAAGACATGAATCTTTGATTTCGAATACTGAAATGAGTAGCTTTGCGAGTTATGATGGAACATGAACAAACAAGGAGGAGACATGCAGAGAGTTTTAAGGTAACTTCAAAATCTCATAAATTGTGACACTGAGCATATACAGGAGCATTTTTACTTAAACAATGATTCAAAAGACTCTTACACCATCCAAAGAGTTGGTTTCAATTTGTGATTTCATACGATGCTGTTCAGATTCTTTTTTTGATTAGAACGTAATTTTGCCAGGCCGAGAATTTGGAGAAAGCAATGTAAAGACATAGAGGGAAGCAGGAAACGAAACTGGAGTCTTAATCTGAATATAAACATTACATATTACAACACTCTTTCCTTGGGTTGAAGTAGAAACTATTATTTATGATAGATCACTTGATTGTTTCTGTAAATGATGTGAAAGGGTAACACAAAAATCTGCTGCGATGTACTTATGCCAATCTGCAAGATCACTCGATATCACTTTGAATCTTCGATTGCCAATCTGGAGCCCGAGTTAGATTTATTTTTGACTTCAAGTTCAATATGGAGTATGTAATTAGGAAATTATGAACACATTCTGCCACAGCCATAAAGTTAGTCTAACTTGTAACTCCATTCGTAGACCTGGAGGAATTGTAGTATACTGTCTGCTTGTGTTAGATTTCATTAATTTAATTTAGCCCAATGCTATGTGGAACTTCCATTTATCTTTGGACATGTTTTTCAAGCTGATGAAAGCAATAGAGACAACGAGCCTGAATACGTTGAAAAATCTGGAGACAGAGAGAAAAGGAAACAAATCAAGATAACTAGGCATTAGTCATGAATTAAGCAGAGTTATAATTTTAGGTATCTGTTATTACGGAAACTATTTTCTATGATAAGTTCACATTGGATTAATGTTTTTGCAGGATTGTGTAATAATTTTCTTGTATATTTAATTCCACCAAAATTTGAGTCAGTCAGTTTGGTATATGATGCACAATACTTGTAGCATAATTGATACACAAGTCATAAGAAAGAGCTATAGAACAAAAGGTGGCTTGTTGAGCACGCTTTCTTCGAAACCCTTATTCTAAATATATTTATCTAGTCAACACAATTGAACTGCATATTTAGGCTGAAGGAATTTTAAAGAAAACAGTAATGAATGTCTCTGTTTCATGCATGTGAAACAATGTTTCGTTCTATCTCGAATCATTTCTTATCTGCCCGACTATTGTGTATAATTTTATTTTCTTCTTCTGTAAACTGTATTCAATAATATTTTGAGGACTTTTGCTGAATTAAATATCATATATCTTGGATTTGATTGACACTTGTAATTTTATACTCTTAGTAAGGTTTTCTAAAATAAAAGTGATGCTTCATTGTTAAATTAAGGCCATGTTCTTTTAACAGTCGCACGATTCTAACTAGCTACTGCCTTTTAAACACTGTGTTTTGTCTTTTTTTTTTTTTTCTCTTAAAGCTAGGTTATGTCGTACAACTCTGTAAATTGGAGAAGAAGATAAGAAATAGTACATATCTGAAAATGACAATTTGATTTTAAAAAACAAGCGACTTCAATAGAAAAGCTTGGGTTGTGTCGCTGATTTATCCAGCGATTCCAAATTCTTGAGATTCAATCGCAGCGACAGAAATTAGGATAGACGAAGAAGAGGTGAAGAAGGGATGAAGGAGATGTAAAGGCCATTTTTTTAATATTCAGTCGCTGTCGCTGAGATTAACGCCCGAACAGGGCCTAAATAAGAGTCAAGAAAGAACAGACCACGAGGATAATGATATTGATTTAAGTCCCTTTCCTTCAACGACACTTTGAACAACTTCCCTTCTCTTTCCACTCGAATATTGTATTCCAGATACATGCATGAGATTACCAACCACTTTTGCTACTTGCTTTGGGTTTCAATTTCACATAATAACGACGAAAACATGAATTGACTTCTTCTTTTGAGTTTTTCCTCTGATCAGTTTCACAAATGTTCTTTATAATTCACAAAATAACTTTCTATATTGAATGCCTTTTCCAGATAACAACCATGTAAAATCAATGTAACAACCATGCCAAAAGTTAGAGGTCTCTTCTATGATTTTGAAGAATCTGTGTAACAATTTCTTATAGATGTAAGTGGGAGTTTTATTTGAAATAGAGTATCTATATTCATTTATATACAATATAAACTATAATTTTATTTTGGAAAATAGTCAGCTACACATAAGAAAAAATCAACAAATCTATATGTAATTAAGTATACTTTGCCGAATTAAAAAAGATTTTGGATCCACCAATGGCTATCTTTGCTCTCGTAGCAGAAAGATTCGATTGGTACCAAAAAGTCTCCTTTAGACTTGGTCACGAGACTCTACAAGCTTCTTTCCTTCTCCTTTCCATGAAATTTACAAGAAAAGTGTTTCCTAACTTCATTTTAAGTGTTTCCTCTCAGTTAACTGTGACTTTCCAAGAAATATTTTCTTTTTTTTCCTTTGCCTAATGGCTTCTTCTTCCTCCACTTCCCGCAATTGGGTATACGATGTGTTCCCGAGCTTCAGTGGGGAAGACGTCCGCATAACTTTCCTCAGCCACTTTCTCAAAGAGCTTGATCGTAAATTGATTATTGCTTTCAAAGACAACGAGATTGAGAGAAGCCAGTCGCTTGATCCCGAGCTTAAACAAGCGATCAGGACTTCAAGGATCGCGGTGGTTGTGTTTTCGGAGAAGTACCCATCTTCCAGCTGGTGCCTGGACGAGTTGCTGGAGATCGTGAGATGCAAGGAAGAATTAGGTCAACTGGTTATACCGGTTTTCTACGGTTTAGATCCATCTCATGCCAGGAAACAAACCGGAAAATTTGGAGAGGCTTTTGTGAAGACTTGTCAAAGAAAAACAGAGGATGAAACAAAACTTTGGCGGCAATCCTTGACAGATGTAGCAAATGTCCTAGGATATCATTCTCAAAACTGGTACAACTTCTTATATATCAATTATATGTTCTTATAGACCTTGACATGTGACAATTGATACTTTTTGTCGTGTGTGACAATTGATATTTCATCTTTTTAGGCCTAATGAAGCACAGATGATTGAAGCAATCGCCAATAATGTCTTGGGTAAATTGAATTCCATTCCAACAAATGATTTTAAGGACTTTGTTGGAATGGAAGATCATATTGCAAAGATGAGTGCCTTATTGCATTTGGAATCCAAGGAAGTGAGGATGGTTGGGATATGGGGCTCCTCAGGAATCGGCAAGACTTCCATTGCAAGAGTTTTATATAGTCGGCTTTCTCATCGGTTCCAAAGTAGTGTTTTTGTAGACAGGGCTTTCATATCTAAGAGTACGGAAATTTACAATAGTGCCAATTCGGACGACTATAACATGAAGTTGCATTTGCAAAAAGTTTTTTTGTCTAAAATTTTAGACAAAAAAGACATAAAGATACATCATTTAGGTGCAGTGGAGGAGAGGCTAAAGCACCATAAAGTTCTTATATTCATTGATGATTTAGATGATCAAGTGGTTCTAGATACTTTGGCAGGTCTAACTCAATGGTTTGGATATGGAAGCAGAATCATTGTGATTACAAAAGACAAGCATTTTTTAAGAGCCCATGGGATTGAATATATTTACAATGTTTGTCTCCCATCTAATGAGCTTGCCCTCAAGATTTTTTGTCGATCGGCTTTCAGGAAAAACTATCCACCTGATGGTTTGATGGAGCTTGCTTCTGAAGTTGCCTTGTGTGCTGGCAATCTTCCTTTGGGTCTAAACGTTTTGGGTTCGCATCTACGGGGTAGGGACAAAGAGGATTTGATGGATATGCTGCCGAGACTTCGAAATGGTTTGGATGGTAAAATTGAGAAGACATTAAGAGTCAGCTACAATGGATTAAATAACCAAAAAGATAAAGCGATATTTCGTCACATTGCATGTCTTTTCAATGGTGAAAAAGTCGATGACATCAAATTGCTACTAGCAGACAGTGGGTTGGATGTTAATATCGGGTTGAAAAACCTTGTGGATAAGTCTCTCATACATGTAAGAGAGGAAATTGTTGAGATGCACTCTTTACTACAAGAAATGGGTAAGGAGATCGTCCGTTCACAGTCTAATGAGCCTGGCGAACGTGAATTCCTTATGGATGCAAAAGATATATGTGATTTGCTTGAAGATAGCACTGTAAGTTTTGTTGTGCTATTTTCATATAAGATTAAAATCATATCATAATTAAGTGAATTCTATTGTTTTATTATTACAGGGTACAAAAAAAGTTTTAGGTATAACATTGGATATGGATGAGATTGATGAATTGCATATACACGAGAATGCCTTCAAAGGGATGCACAATCTTCTTTTTCTAAAAGTTTACACTAAGAAATGGGATAAGAAGACAGAAGTGCGATGGCACTTACCGAAAGGCTTCAACTACTTGCCTCATAAACTTAGATTTTTAAGGTTGGATGGATACCCAATGAGATGTATGCCTTCTAAATTTCGCCCTGAAAACTTGGTGAAACTCGAAATGTCGGGGAGCAAACTCGAGAGACTGTGGGAAGGAGTTCATGTAAGTTTTACACAAAAATTATTACAAATTTCTTATCAAGATGGAAATGCTTATTTTAGTTTTTAGTTGACATTTCTTTAAGTGACCCATAACTTTCTTATATTTCAGTCATTTAGAGGACTAAGAGATATAGATTTGCAAAAATCTGAAAATCTGAAAGAAATCCCAGACCTCTCTATGGCAACCAGTCTCAAGACACTTAATCTTTGCGATTGTTCAAATTTGGTTGAGCTTCCTCTCTCTATTCAGTATCTCAATAAACTGGAGAAGTTGGAAATGTCAGGATGCATAAATCTGGAGAATCTTCCCATCGGGATAAACCTCAAATCTCTTGGTAGGCTTAACCTTGGTGGATGTTCACGGTTGAAGATTTTTCCTGATATCTCAACCAACATATCATGGCTCATATTAGACGAGACTGGGATTGAAACATTCCCCTCCAACTTGCCTTTAGAGAATCTTTTTCTTCATTTATGTGAAATGAAGAGTGAAAAATTGTGGGGAAGAGTGCAGCAGGTATCCACTTAACCTTCAACTTCTTTTAACTAAAACCTTTTCTAATTGATATATATATATATATATATCCCCTATATATTAATAGAGAAACATTTTTTAAAAAAAAAACCTTACCATCATGTGTTATTAACAATATTGTCACGTTGATGTGTCGCTCTCACAATGATTTGACTTCTATTTAGATAATTACCCAAGATTTATTAGACTATTTACAGAATTGCCATTAGTCTCATACATCCATATATCCCATTAATAATTAAAAACATACACTTTTTGTTTATCTTATATTACTATATTTTTATGTTTATATTTTTCTTTATATACATTTATATAAATTTTCTTTAGCGGATGGGTAAACAATCTTTTTATTTATATTTATATTTATGTTTAAATTTAAATGATAAAATATATACATTTGCTTCAAGAATCACGAATTCAAAACTACAAAATCTTTACATCTTTCATAAATTTTTTACTTAAATAATAAGATAATCTCTTTTCTATATATGTTACGAATACTTAAAATCCTATTTTTTGGAGGAGTTCTAACTTTTCAAAGAAAAACATTATAACCACATTTGTATATAAACCAAAATCTGACTACATTATAACCATTTCGTAAATAATCCATTCATAATCTAAGAATCTTAGATTTGGAACACTACAAAATCTTAGCTTGGAAACTATTAAATCTCATATTTGCTAAATTTTGGATTTCTTATACTTATTAAAAAAAAAAATCTCGAAATCTTTTAAACATACGGAAAGACATATTGTCATAAATTGTAACATTTCGTCAATACTTTTTTATCACGTTGAAGCTTTATTCAATGTTCAAATATTTCACGGGTAAAACATATTCTTATATGAAATAGTCCCAAATTTGAATAAAACAAAAAAAAAATTGTAACATGTTTCGTTTTACACAAACGGATCTTGGATCCCGGATAATAATTTTAATCATAATAATTTAACTTAAATCACTCCATCCCGCACATCGTGCGGGTTGTTATCTAGTATATATATGTAACATAAAAAATGACTTAAAAGTGTGAGACTTAAAAGCTGGAGTTTTCAAATGAAAAATTGCATGCTCTTTATTATTTTATAGTTTTATTTTATAGTTTTTTCTTTTCTTTTTTTGGTAGTAGAGTAGTAACAATACTTTTTTAATTACTTCCAAAATAAATAAATCAATTACATGTAGCTATGTTTAGATTTGTTTTATTAGTTCATGTATTTTACTGGATTTGGAAACCCAAACAAAAATCATGTGTTATTCAACATTGATTTTAAAATCCTTATCAAAATCATATGTTATTGGTTCTATGAGTTTTAAATACTAATTAAAATTCCATGTTATTCGTTTAGTGATTTATTCTTGGATTTAAAAATCCACATTGAAAAGATTGAGTTTCTATAACTCTTTTGTTTTTGTTTTTTTTTTTTTTTTTTGGTTCAGCCACTTACACCTCTCATGACCATACTGCCTCACTCTTTAGCAAGATTGTTTCTTTCCGATATCCCAAGTTTAGTGGAGCTTCCCGCCTCTATTCAGAATTTCACTAAACTTAATCGTTTGGCAATTGAAAATTGCATAAATCTGGAGACTCTTCCCTCTGGCATCAACTTTCCATTGCTACTTGACCTTGATCTTAGGGGATGCTCACGGTTGAGGACTTTTCCTGATATCTCAACCAACATCTATATGCTCAATGTACCTCGAACAGGGATTGAAGAGGTTCCTTGGTGGATCGAGAAATTCTCTAACCTCGTTCGGCTTTGTATGGGTGGATGCAACAAATTACAATGTGTATCCCTACACATTTCTAAACTGAAACATCTCGGGGATGTTGACTTTTCAGACTGCGGGGCATTGACTAAAGCTAGCTGGATTGATAGTTCAAGTGTTGAGCCAATGGCATCAGACAATATTCAATCTAAACTACCATTCCTTGGCGAGGTCCCCTCGTCTTTTCCGGACAACTTGATCAACTGCTTCAATTTCAACTTCGAACAAATACCTATCATTGATCCACAAGTTGATTCCAAGTACATAAGGTTGTCAGGTGAAGAAGTTCTTTCGTATTTCACTCACCGAACTACTGGTATGTCTCTGACCAATATCCCTCTACTTCAGACATCTTTCACTCAACCGTTCTTCAGATTTAAGGCTTGCGTTGTCGTTGACTCCATATCTTCACCTCATAATGTTTTTCAATTTCGCATCCACGTATCTTGTCGGTTCAAAGGTAGACTTGGCAACCACTTTGATTCCCCTTATCAACCATGTGGGTTTGTGAAACGGAAGGGTATCCACCTTGTTATATTCGAATGTTGTTTCTCTATAAAAGAAGAGAACGATGCTTCTCTAACTGAACTAAACTACGATCACGCGGATATAGAGTTTCGTTTAAGTAATAGTAGTTACTCTACGTCCGTATTGAAAGAATGGGGTATACGACTCTCAGATGACTTTTCATCACCGGTGATCCAACCTGGTGATGGAAATAATCTTCCAGATGTTTTTGAAGCCGATGACGACAATATGGTTAATGAGACTGAACATAGCGAAGAATCTGGAGACAGCAATGTTGAAATAGAGAGAAGCAAGAAAAGAATCAGGGTAAGCATTAAGCATGTACTGCACATAATACTTTATATCTCACAATTCGTTTTCAAAGTCAATAAGAAACTATATATATTTTGTATAACAGACTACTGAATTTGTTTTCCTTTTAATTTGTTGTAGATTACTGAGGAAGAACACCAATAAAGTCAATGGAGAGACATTTTCAGCAGGTAACCCAAAAATCTCATAAACCACCTTATTTTAGTTCCACATCAATTGTGACACAGAGCTTGGGATAATCTTAATTAGGAATTTATTCAATAGTTTCTGCCACTAACTAAAAGATTTGGTTTCAATATATTGGTGATTTCATACAATGACGCCCTTCAGTTTTCATTTTCTTTCTCTTTGCGCTTATAAATTTGCTCTGCTTGCACATGGTCAAGATAGATAATGTAATGAAATGTGGTTTGCTAATTAAGTCCACATCTGTTGTATCTGTGAATGAGCAGTTGAAAAAGAGAAGATGAAAAAGCTCAAGATAATACTTTGGTGCTGAGAATGGATTTGCCAAGCCGGGATGACTTGGCTTTACATAGTTACCATATGGATATCTCTGTTTCAGACAAACAAAAGCTTTGCAGAAACTTTGTTCTTCTATTATTCTCGATTGTTGATGCTGCTGGGCAATGGTAACCTAGCTTTCCCAGCACGTCAACCAAATTTGTAATTGTGGTCAAATTTTTATTTGCATTAATTTTCAATATTAATAACGAGTGATGACATGTATTTCGAGCCTTTTGTGATGTTTGTGATGCTATAATGTTCATTTCTTGTTTCTTGTTTACGATTTTCATGTTTTGCTTTTTTTGATGTTTTGGTATTTGGACACTTAGAAAACCAAAAAACAATCTGTTCTTTATTTCTGCATGATACACTGCTTCCGACTAATCTAAGGTTGACTTTTCAAATTACTTGGCATTCACTGTAGGGGACTTTCTACTTCATTTTCGGTCGCAAATAGTTATGAATAACACCACATTGAATTCAAACCTCAGTTTTGTTGGTGTTGTGAAGACCGAGTTTTAGAAGCTGCTGAGATCCTTGTTTCAAGGTTGAGAGAGAGTTTGGAGATCATCAAAGTAATAGTTAAAGTTAATAATGTGTGAAGCTTGGATTATAAAACTCACTAAGAAAGGGAGAGATTGTTGATGTATTCTTAATGAGTTTTATATCAAGATGGAGAGAAACAGAAAGCAACATTTATAAAAGGCGAAGAGTGAAGAAGAAGCTGCTGAAGTAGTCGTTGAACTAGTTCAGAGTAGTACAAGAAGTAGTTCAACAGAACAGAATTACGTGAAGCAAGTATTTGGAAATTGGTAAAGTCGGTCTATGACAGTTGGCTGTGGATACTAGAAGCTTGGAGAAGATTCTAGAAGACTGAAGAGTTTCCTTTTCATAGGAGGAAAATGAAACAATAAACATGAAGAGAAAGGACAATTTCCTAATCCTTAAAGAAAAAAGAAATTGTCTATCCCTATTAGTGTTAGAATAGGAAATCGGCTTGTTGTATAGTCATGACCTATTTAGTAGAAATAGGGTGCTTAGGCTTTAGAAAAGCTCAGCACAAGAGAGAAAGAGAATTCTTAGACATTAAGGTTATGGAGTTTCTTGTGAGAAAGCATAATGCTTAAGAGGACTAAGGGATTTGTCTTGAGAGAGTTCTTGATCGGGTTATGATCTAAGAACGAGAGATTGGGAGAATAGAAAATAATTTAAGGAGAAACCTTATAAACGTATTTTCTATTAATGAAAAGAGTTTTAAGAAGAAACCATTGTCTCAGTTTCTGACTCAGTTTCTGTCTTACATCGTGAACTAGTTTCCATACATACGATAGCTCTTGCGTTTTCAAGTTTCATTATATATATATATATATATGCTTTATCACGACCTTGAATTCTCTAGTCTAAAGAATACTGTATATGTTTTTCCTTTTGGTCTCTGTAACTTTCCTTCGCGGAACTGTGATTGTGATGTCCATGATGGATCATATACGTTAATACAATCTGATTTCTGAACTTAATATAATCAAAATTTGGGTTAAATCAGTTTATTAGTATACAGTACACTGCACACCAGTCAAAAGAAACAGTAATTCAACGAAATATGTTTTGGTAACTTGTTTCACATGTTTCTCTGTCAACCCTGATTCTAAAATCAGTAGGATGGTCAAAACTCAAAACAATTGAATCACTGAATAAATTTACGTAGTTAGCCATAGATGTCTCTGCTTCAGACTAGAGCTTCTCAGAAATGTTAAGGCCAGGAACAAGGGAAACGTGTTCTTTGTTCCATATAGAATAACCTTAAATTAGATCGTTGTGACTTGTGTGTAACTGAATCCACTTAAAAATTTCAAATTCTTAAAATAAGCTATAGTTAGAGACTGTGTCTTTCTTTGCTGTAGTATTTTCTCATTTTCACACGAGAAAGTTGGTAAGCTTAAAATTCTTTGAAAAAGTCTTAAAAAGAATAGGAAACATTCGTCAAGTTTTGTCTGAAAAGTCTGAGAAACAATAGTGAAATTGTAAGACTTTGGATGAAACCGGCCAACAAAATTCACTTGTATGGCCGTGATTTAGACAAGTTACCAAGAGAGGAATGTCCTAGAAGCAGTTAATGTTTTTATATAAATCACCAAGACTTTATGTGTGACGTACGCCTCACTACTTCTCCTCTGATTTTATTATTACTGTCTCACTCGCCTAAATTTTTGTTTGTAGCTTCCTACTCTCACTCTATCTCTCTATGGTTTGTTCGTCTTCTTCTTCTCTCAATTGGGTATATGATGTTTTCTTGAGCTTCAGAGGGGAAGACGTCCGCGTATCTTTCCGTAGCCACTTTCTCAAAGAGCTCGATCGTAAATTGATCACTGCTTTCAAAGACAATGAGATTAAGAAAAGCCACTCCCTCTGGCCCGAGCTTGTACAAGCGATCAAGGAATCCAGGATCGCGGTGGTCGTTTTCTCTAAAAACTACGCTTCTTCAAGCTGGTGTCTTAACGAGTTGCTGGAGATCGTGAATTGCAATGATAAGATTGTCATACCAGTTTTCTACGGTGTGGATCCTTCGCATGTGAGGAATCAAACCGGTGACTTTGGAAGGATCTTTGAAGAGACTTGCGAGAAAAATACAGAGCAAGTGAAAAATCGATGGAAGAAAGCGTTGAGTGATGTAGCTAATATGTTTGGATTTCATTCTGCGACTTGGTATGATTTTCTTAATTCATGATTATGTGCATTATGATACATTTTGAATATATTGTTATTTCATATCTATTAAATTATATTTCACTTTATTAGGGACGACGAAGCAAAAATGATTGAAGAAATAGCCAATGATGTTTTGGGTAAACTGCTTTTAACTACATCAAAGGATTTTGTAAACTTTGTTGGCATCGAAGATCATATCGCTGAAATGAGTTTACTGCTGCAATTGGAATCTGAGGAAGTGAGAATGGTTGGTATATGGGGTTCCTCAGGGATTGGTAAGACTACCATCGCAAGAGCTCTGTTTAACCAACTTTCTCGGAATTTCCAAGTTAGCAAATTCATAGATAAAGCTTTTGTATATAAGAGTAGAGAAATTTATAGTGGAGCCAATCCGGACGACTACAACATGAAGTTACATTTACAAGAGAGTTTCCTCTCTGAAAGTCTGAGGATGGAGGACATAAAGATAGATCATCTAGGAGTACTAGGAGAGAGGCTACAACACCAGAAAGTTCTTATCATCGTTGATGATTTGGATGGCCAAGTGATCTTAGATTCCTTGGTGGGTCAAACTCAATGGTTTGGAAGTGGGAGCAGAATCATTGTGGTTACAAATGATAAGCATTTCTTAAGGGCTCATAGGATTGATCATATTTATGAAGTTACTTTCCCAACTGAAGTGCAAGGTTTTCAGATGTTATGTCAATCTGCATTCAGACAAAACTATGCACCTGAAGGTTTTGGGAAGCTTGTGGTTGATGTTGCAAGACATGCGGGCCGTCTTCCTTTGGGTCTTAATGTTTTGGGTTCGTATTTGCGGGGGAGAGATAAGGAGTACTGGATAGATATGCTGCCAAGGCTTCAGAATGGTCTAGACGATAAAATTGAGAAAATACTAAGAATCAGCTATGATGGGTTAGTTAGCGCAGAAGATCAAGCGACATTTCGTCATATCGCATGTCTTTTCAATCATATGGAAGTCACAACCATCAAGTCATTGCTTGGAGATAGTGATGTCAGTATTGCACTGCAAAACCTAGCTGATAAGTCCCTTATTCATGTCAGACAAGGCTATGTGGTGATGCACCGTTCACTACAAGAAATGGGCAGAAAAATTGTTCGCACGCAGTTCATTGATAAGCCTGGAAAACAAGAATTTCTGGTGGATCCAAATGATATTTGTTACGTACTCAGGGAAGGCATTGTAAGTACTTTTTTTTTTTTTGTGGTCCTTTCATAACTCAGTTATGAGGTTAAGAAAATGTCATTTGATAAATGATGAATTGTATGGTTTTGTCTCCTCATTATAACTATATTTTTCAGGGTACTAAAAAGGTGCTAGGTATATCATTCAATACAAGTGAGATTGATGAGTTGCATATACATGAGAGTGCCTTCACAGGGATGCGTAATCTCCGTTTCTTGGATATTGATTCTTCAAAGAACTTTCGAAAAAAAGAAAGATTGCACTTACCTGAAAGTTTCGACTATTTGCCACCTACACTCAAACTATTGTGCTGGTCCAAATATCCAATGAGCGGTATGCCTTCTAATTTTCGTCCTGATAACCTTGTCAAGCTCAGAATGCGAAAGAGCAAGCTACATAAGTTGTGGGAAGGAGTTGTGGTAAGTTTTGAGAATAATTTCCAATGTAATTATTAATGAAAAAGAGATTAAAAAAAAAAGAGTCACATGATGTGTAATTTCTACTGAACATTGTGTTTAATGTTTGGTTGATTACAGTCATTTACATGTCTAAAGGAAATGGATATGTTGGGATCTAAATACCTGAAAGAAATTCCAGATCTTTCCATGGCTACTAATCTCGAGACACTTTGTTTTCGGAATTGCGAGAGTTTGGTGGAGCTTTCTTCCTCTATACGAAATCTCAATAAACTATTGAGATTGGACATGGGAATGTGCAAAACTCTGACAATTCTTCCGACTGGCTTCAACCTCAAATCTCTCGACCACCTCAACTTAGGATCTTGCTCGGAGTTGAGGACTTTTCCCGAATTATCAACCAACGTATCAGATCTCTATTTGTTTGGAACAAACATTGAAGAATTCCCTTCTAATTTACATCTCAAGAATCTCGTTAGTCTTACAATATCGAAAAAAAATAATGATGGGAAACAATGGGAAGGAGTGAAGGTATGTAGTTCTGAACTTCTCCAATCTCTTTAACTACACTTTTAGAAAAGAAAAACGAAAAAAAAAAAAATCATTGTCGCTAACTCTACGGACCGATTGGTCACAACTGTTATTTTGGGTGTAAAAGAACTTTGGGCTGAAAATACTCTGGCTTCAAAGACTTTTGTTTGTTTTGTTCAGCCGTTTACGCCCTTCATGGCGATGTTGTCTCCCACTTTGACACATTTGTGGCTCGATAGTATCCCAAGTTTGGTGGAGCTTCCTTCCTCATTTCAGAATCTCAATCAACTAAAGAAGTTGACCATCCGAAACTGCAGAAATCTGAAGACTCTGCCCACCGGAATCAACCTCCTATCTCTCGATGACCTTGATTTCAATGGATGCCAACAGTTGAGGAGCTTTCCTGAAATCTCAACCAACATCTTACGGCTAGAATTAGAAGAAACAGCGATTGAAGAGGTTCCTTGGTGGATCGAGAAATTCTCCAACCTCACTAGGCTAATTATGGGAGATTGCAGCAGGCTAAAATGTGTATCCCTAAACATTTCTAAACTAAAACATCTTGGGGAAGTTAGCTTTTCAAATTGTGCGGCATTGACTAGAGTTGATTTGAGTGGCTATCCAAGTTTGATGGAGATGATGGAAGTCGACAATATTTCCGAGGAGGCCTCCTCTTCTCTTCCTGATAGTTGTGTTCACAAAGTCGATCTCAATTTCATGGACTGCTTCAACTTGGATCCAGAAACTGTCCTTGACCAACAATCAAATATTTTCAACTTAATGGTATTTTCAGGGGAAGAAGTGCCATCATATTTCACTTACCGTACTATCGGAATCTCCTCTCTGACCATCCCTCTACTTAACGTCCCTCCCTCCCAACCATTCTTCAGATTTAGGGTTGGGGCAGTGTTACCTGTTGTTGACAGTGGAATAAAAATCAAGGTAAACTGTGAATTCAAAGGAAGATTTTGGAACAACTTTTATGTTGGCTTTGATTTCATTGTTGGGGTACATTATAGCAACACGGAGGGTAGTCATATGTTAGCTATATTGGACTATCATATCCCTCTAAACGAAGATAATTCTGCTCCTCTAGCTCAAGGGAACTACGATCACGTGGATATGGAAATTAATACATCCTATTGTTATGGTAATTCTTCTGGGTGTGTGTTAAAAGGATGGGGTATACGGCTCTTAGAGGACTGTTCATCACCGGAAAACAACCAACTTGGTAATCCAATCACGCATCCACATGTCTGTGAAGACAATATACTTGTGAAGTCTGGAGACACCAATATAGAGACAGAGAGAAGCAGGAAGCGAATGTGGGCAAGCATTAAGCATGTAATGAACATAATATGCGGAAATCGACTTGGTGATCAAACCAGTCTTCCACATGTTTGTGAAGCCGAAGATGACAATATGGGGTACACGCCTCTTCAAAGACTTGTTTATGAGACTGAACACATTGAAGAGTCTGGAGACGGCAATGTCGAGACAGAGAGAAGCAGGAAGCGAATGCGGGTAAGCATTAAGCATGTGAAAGTATTTTGAGACTAGAAAAGAGGAAAACTTTAAACTTTCATTTTGATTTTGATGTCTCCCTTAGGGTTTATTACAAAGACAGCATTTGATTTTATACACAGAGAACCTTTTTGTTTTTCAAATAGACAACTGACTTTTTTCCCCATTGTTTGCAGCTACACGACTTCATATAAGTAACAAAAGGGACTCTACGTTGAGATTAAGGCACTCTTCCAACTGCATGTGAAGCTGATGAAAGACGATATGTTTAATAGGAGTAAACACAGTGAAAACTGTGGAAGGACAGAGAGAATCAGGTTTTGCCAGTTATATGGAACAGCAACAATAAGGAGGAGACATGCAGAGAGTTTTCAGGTAACTAGTTTAAAAATGAAGAGTCTAATGAATCATTTTTGAACAATTTATGAGATTTTAAGTAACCTGAAAAATCTCTGCATAGCACCTGAAAAACTATACAAAAGTCATAAGAAACAGAGTAATGAAATAAGGGTAGCTTCTTGCATACGCTTTCTTCGCAATCGCAACCCTAAATCCAAAATAAATTAATTGGTCAACACAATTAATCTGCATATCTTGGCTGAAGGGATCTACAACAAAAACAGGAAATGAATTGTTTCTCATCCGTCCGACTATTGTATATAGCTAGCTAGTGTGGGAGTTTATTTTTCTTTTGTAAACTCAATTTGATAAGCCTATTCAATAATATTTTGAGGACTTTTTCTGAATTAAATACATATATCTAGGATTTGATCGAATCCTGTCTCCACTTGTAATTTTATACTCTTAGTAAGTTTTTTTAAATAGAAAAAAAAAATGATGTTTCATCGTTTAATTAATGATAGTCGAGAACAGACCAACCACTAATGATGCTTGCTTTGGGTTTCAAATTCATTTCATAATAACGACGAAAACATGATTAGACTTCTTCAAAGTCCATATATATGTAATTAAAAAACAATTTGGATCCACCAATGTATATCGTCGTTGCTTTCGTAGCTGATGGATTCAAGCTAAAAGTCTCCGTTAGACTTGCTTCACGAGATCTACAAGCTTCCTTCTCCTTTCCATGAAATTTCCAGAATCAAAAAGCTACTTTAAAAGTTTTTCCTAATTTCTTTTAAGCTATTGTTCTTAACGCTATAACTTTTCCAGATATAGTCTTTTTTCTTAGCTTAATAATGGCTTCTTCTTCCTCCTCTTCCCGCAATTGGGTATACGATGTTTTCCCAAGTTTCAGTGGAGAAGACGTCCGCATAACTTTCCTCAGCCACTTTCTTAAAGAACTTGACCGAAAACTGATTATTGCTTTCAAAGACAACGAGATTGAGAGAAGCCAGTCGCTTGATCCCGAGCTTAAACAAGCGATCAGGTCTTCAAGGATCGCGGTGGTTGTGTTTTCGGAAAAGTACCCATCTTCCAGCTGGTGCCTGGACGAGTTGCTGGAGATCGTGAGATGCAAGGAAGAATTAGGTCAACTGGTTATACCAGTTTTCTACGGTTTAGATCCATCTCATGTCAGGAAACAAACCGGACAATTTGGAGAGGCTTTTGCGAAGACTTGTCAAAGAAAAACAGAGGATGAAACAAAACTTTGGCGGCAATCCTTGACAGATGTAGCAAATGTCCTAGGATATCATTCTCAAAACTGGTAAACATTTTTACATATCATATGTGTTGTTTTTTGTGTCGTGTGTGTTAAATGATCATTCATCTTGTTAGGCCTAGCGAAGCAAAAATGATTGAAGCAATTGCCAATAATGTCTTGGGTAAACTGAATTTCACTCCATCGAAGGATTTTGAGGATTTTGTCGGAATGGAAGATCATATTGCAAAGATGAGTGTATTATTGAATTTGGAATCTGAGGAAGTGAGGATGGTTGGGATATGGGGCTCCTCAGGAATTGGCAAGACTTCCATTGCAAGAGCTTTATATAATCAACTCTCTCGTCGGTTCCAAGGTAGTGTTTTCATAGATAGAGCATTTGTAACTAAGAGTAAGAGTAATTATGAAAGTGCCAACCCTGACGATTATAACATGAAGTTGTATTTGCTAAGAAGTTTTTTGTCTGAAATTTTGGACAAAAAAAACGTAAGGATAAATCACTTAGGTGCAGCGGAAGAGACGTTAAATCGCCGGAAAGTTCTTATCTTTATTGATGATATGGATGATCAAGTGGTGCTAGATACTTTGGCTGGTCAAGCTCAGTGGTTTGGATGTGGGAGCAGAATCATTGTGATTACAAAAGATAAACATTTTTTAAGGGCCCATAGGATTGATCATATTTATGAGGTCTGTCTTCCATCTAAAGACCTTGCGCTTAAGATATTTTGTAGATCTGCTTTCAAGAAAAACTCTCCACCTGAAGGTTTGATGGATCTTGCTTCTGAAGTTGCATTGTGTGCCGGTAATCTTCCTTTGGGTCTTAAGGTTTTGGGCTCGTATTTACGAGGTAGAGACAAAGAGGATCTGATGGATATGTTGCCGAGGCTTCGAAATAGTTTGGATGGAAAAATTGAGAAGACGCTAAGAGTTAGTTACGATGGATTAAATGACAAAAAGGATAAAGCGATATTTCGTCACATTGCATGTCTTTTCAATGGTGAAAAAGCCAATGACATCAAGTTGCTACTAGCAGACAGCGGCTTGGATGTTAATATCGGGTTGAAAAACCTTGTTGATAAGTCTCTCATACATGTAAGAAAGGAAATTGTTGAGATGCACTCTTTGCTCCAAGAAATGGGTAAGGAGATCGTCCGTGCACAATCCAATGAGCCTGGAGAACGAGAGTTCCTTGTGGATGCAAAAGAAATTTGTGATTTACTTGAAGATAACACTGTAAGTTTTTCATTCTTTCTTCATATATCTCACTCTATAAGATTAAAATCATGTCATATGTGAAATAATATTGATATTCTAATCTCAGGGTACCAAAAAGGTTTTAGGTATATCATTGGATATGGATGAGATAGATGAATTGCATATACATGAGAATGCCTTCAAAGGGATGCGTAATCTCATTTTTCTAAAATTTTACACTAAGAAATGGGACCAGAAGAATGAGGTGAGATGGCACTTACCGGAAGGATTCAACTATTTGCCCCATAAACTTAGGTTATTGAGATTGGACGGATATCCAATGAGGCATATGCCTTCTAACTTTCGTACCGAAAATCTTGTTGAGCTGCATATGCCAGGGAGCAAACTTGAGAGGCTATGGGAAGGAGTTCAAGTAAGTCTTATACAAATTATAGCATTATTAGTATCGAGATGAGAATATTTAAGGAAACAATAATTTAGATGTCATCCTTTTAAGTGATGTCCAACTAACTTTCTTATATTTCAGGAACTTAAAGGGCTCAAGACGATAAATTTGCACAGATCTAAAAATTTGAAAGAAATACCAAATCTTTCGATGGCCACCAATCTTGAGGAACTTCATCTTGGTGATTGCTCAAGTTTGGTGGAACTTTCTTCCTCTGTTCAGTATCTCAATAAGCTGAAGAGTTTGGTTATGTCAGGATGCATAAATCTGGAGATTCTTCCCACTGGAATCAACCTCCAATCTCTTTTTAGCCTTAATCTGAAAGGATGCTCAGGGTTAAAGATTTTTCCCAATATCTCAACCAACATCTCATGGCTAATTCTAGATGAAACATCAATTGAAGAATTTCCTTCTAACTTGCGTTTAGATAATCTTTTACTTCTTAGCATGTGTAGAATGAAGAGTCAGAAACTCTGGGATAGAAAGCAGGTATCTATCTATTTAACCTTAAATATATAGAGGATTCGTGAACTAACAACTCAAAAATTTTCATTTGAGTGCTGTCAAAAAAAAAAAAAAAAAAGTCATTTGAGTTAATTATATTTCTAAATTGCTTTAATTTTTTTTTGGTCCAGCCGCTTACGCCTCTCATGGCCATGCTGCCTCATTCTCTGGAGGAATTGTTTCTCTCGGACATTCCAAGTTTGGTGGATATTCCTTCCTCTATCCAGAATTTCACTCACCTTGATTGTTTGGGAATTGAAGATTGCATAAACCTGGAGACTCTTCCCACCGGCATCAACTTTCATCATCTTGAAAGCCTTAATCTCAGTGGATGCTCTCGGTTGAAGACTTTTCCAAATATCTCAACCAACATTGAACAACTCTATCTACAACGAACAGGGATAGAAGAAGTTCCTTGGTGGATAGAGAAATTCACAAAGCTTGATTACATAACTATGGAGAAATGCAACAATTTAATACGTGTATCCCTAAACATTTACAAACTGAAACGTCTTATGGTTGACTTTTCAGACTGCGGGTCATTGACTGAAGCTAGTTGGAATGGTAGTCCAAGTGAGGTGGCAATGGTAACAGACAATATTCACTCTAAGTTTCCAGTCCTTGAAGAGGCTTTCTATTCTGATCCAGATAGTACTCCCCCAGAATTTTGGTTCAATTTCCACTTCCTCAACTTGGATCCAGAAGCTCTCCTTCGCCAACGATTTATCTTTAACTCCATAACCTTGTCAGGTGAAGAAGTGCCTTCATATTTCACTCACCAAACTACTGAAATCTCTTTAACCAGTATCCCTCTACTTCAACCCTCTCTTTCTCAACAATTCTTCAAATTTAAGGCTTGCGCAGTGGTTAGTTTCGACTCTTTGTTCCTAACTTGGGGCTTTGGAGTATATATCCGTGTAAACTGTCGGTTCAAAGACAGACATGGGAACAGCTTTGATACCTTTGGTCAGCCACATGGCTTCAGCGGATCTAAGAAGGATAATAATCTGTTTATATTGGACTGTCGTGTCCCGCTAAACAAAGATAACGCTGCTCTTGCTCAACTGAACTATGATCACGTGGATATGGAAATTCAAATTAGAAAGTTGGATCAATCATACAAGTATGGCTATACCTTCAAATTAAAAGGATGGGGTATACGAGTGTTAGAGGAATGTTCACTACTGGAGAACCGACTTCCACATGTTTATGAAGCAGATGAAGACAATTTGGTTAATATGACTGAGCACAGTGAAGAGTATGTTGAGACAGTTGTGAAGAGACAAAGAGAAACTGGAAGCGACTGCATGTAAGCCTTAAGCATGAATTGAACATGATACTATATATATCGCTCACAATTCTTTTTCAGGATCAAGATCACTAGGTTTATTTCTTTTGCAGATTACCTAAAGGACCACTCAAGAAACCCCTGCTTTGCCCTGCCTCCGATACCCAGGAGGAAAACAAGACGTCACTTTGAATCTTTGATTGTGTGAATATTGAAATGAGTATAGTATTGCCAGTTATAACTTTTTATGGAACAACAATATACAAGGAGGATATACAAAGAGTCTTCAATGTCTCCCCAGCTGGAAAGACGTTTTCAGGTAACCGAAAAATCTAATAACTATCTTATTTTAGTTCCCACAACAATTGTGACACAGAGCATATAGGCATTTACTCTGTAAAATAGATTCTACCACCGTCCAAAGAGTTGAATTCAATTGCTGATTAGTTTCTATTTTGATTCTCTTTGCGCTTATAAAATTGTTTGGCTTGCACGTAGTCTATTATTGGAAATAATGGACCATACCAAGAAGAAAACCCCTATTTTTGAAATATAAGACATGTTTAGGAATAGTTATCTTTTCGATCTATTCAATGGTTCTCACTGTTTTTGTGAGTCTGTATGTTTAGCTTCCTATAATTGCTTTTCCCCTTCTCTCTAAACTATTCTCATGTATTGAACACCTTCTTTTTCAATAGTATAGTTTAGTGAACAAGAATTACAAATAATAATCTCTCTTTAGATTTCTAGATGGTCAAAGTAGATAATGTAATCAAATGTGTGGTTTGTGCAGCTTCATCTTGCAAAGGATTTGGTCTCTGTTTCAGAAAAAATAAAAGATTTGCAGAAACTTGTTCTACTAGTCTGTCTTGTAGTCTCGATATGTGGACGGTGCTGGTCCATGAAAAACCTAGCGGGCCCAACAAGTCAAACCAAATTTGTAATTGTGGTAAAATTTTATCTGCATTATTTTTAATACTAATTACAAGATATGACATATATTTAGGATATTTTGTGATGTTTGTGACTATGATCTTCATTTCTTGTTTATGTTTTGACAATATTTTCAACGTGACAACGTTTGTACACAGTTTCATGGACCATATTGAAGGGAGTCAAGACAACAACACTATAAGCGTGTGGGGCTAGAGAAAAGCAGGAAGCCGATCAGAATAATTAAGCACTGGTCATTGACTGAAACAGAGTCAATTCTAGGTATCTATAATTACTTCTTTTTCCAGATTAAATCCAAGCTATATATTTTGTATACTAATTTCATAGTCAATATATTCTTTCGTAATAGTGTCAAGAAACAAGGACTTGATGTGCAGTCAAACCTCCAAGAACACATGCTGATGACCCTTTGAACCTATGAGTGTGAATCTGGAGACTATGTTCTCTTCATTGTCTGTTCTTATACTATTCAACCAATGTTTATGTCAATATATCGACTTTTCCTTTTGTTTTAAATTTGATAGATCTACGGCACACTGTCACAATTATGGGACCATAATGCTTTTGTATTATTTCGTACATAGGTTATTAAAATTTATTTTCTCCTAAAAAGTTATAAAAATATTTGCTTCTTTTTTTTTAACGTCTACATTTATTATTTATTGCAAATTATGAGAACTGTTACATAGACGATTCTACAACGAACAATTCCTTCCGACCTTTATTAGATCCACGACAGATGACACTTCTTTCTCCATGCTCTTGACGGACACCTTCAATGATCCACGACCTGACGACACTTCTCTTTCTGCGTAGAATCCTAACGAATGACTATAATTGTACATCGTTGGAGATTTCCTGCACACTTGTCTCTGTTAATCTGCAAATTAATAAATCGCAGTATCTGGGACTCGAACCCCAAACCTCTTGGTGTAGAAGCATTAATTAACCCTTTGTCAACCAATGGACCAAGGGGGCTTCCACAATATTTGCCCCTTTTGTTAACAAATTCAGGCCCTCGCAGCTTTCATTCTCCCGAGGCCGTGTTTAGAGAATCAAAATTTTGAGGCTTCAAACTTAGGCCCCACAAAAAAATATCTAAAATATATACCGAGGTTACGGTGCGTTTCTACCGGAGCTGACCGAATCAGCCGATATACTGTATCAAAAAAATACCTAAAATTTTGGGGCCTGGTTAAAGTGTGTAATGTTGGGTCTATGTCAAATGTTCAAATCCAATTATTTTCTTCTATATAAATTAAACTTTTTGATAAACTTCCATTTTTCCCTTAGATTCGAAATCCTTCTTTCCTTATTATGTTGTTGAACTTCAATATATCAAGTAAACAAAGCATTTGCATTAAATATGATTTGCAATTTAGAGAGATGTTATTGCATGAACTAAAAACCATTCAAAAATCTATTGGCTATTGCCATTCATAGACCTTTTCTAACTCGCTTAAAACCTCTCTATATGAAGTTATGAACCTAAGCACGATACTAGTTCTTCTAGAAGGTCTCTGCATGTGAACATTGATTGGAGTTGACGTTAACGATAAAGAAGTGGGAACCCAAATGACCCATCTGTCTTTTTCTCAATTTATGTCTCTATTTCTCTTCGTCTATGTTTTCTTGATTCTCATAGAGTAAAATTGTTTTCCTGTTTTCTGAAATATCTTTTCCTTAAAAAAAAAAAACATTCCTCAGCAAAACCTAAACAAACACTCTGTTTCTGTTAGCTTAGGATTTCATCACAGCTAAGAAGACAAGGAGACATTAGTTTCTGCATTGTAATTCAGTTCCTTGATTTACAAGAAATTGTATTGGTTTTGTTTCTCTATCTCTATGTCTTCTTCTCGCAATTGGGACTATGACGTCTTCCCGAGCTTTAGAGGAGCAGATGTCCGCAAAACATTCCTCAGTCACTTTCTTAAAGAGCTGGATCTCAAATCGATCAAACCGTTCAAAGACAGTGAGATCGAAAGAAGCCACTCGATCGCACCGGAGCTTATACAGGCGATTAGGGGCTCAAGAATTGCAGTGGTAGTGTTCTCCGAAAACTACGCTACTTCCAAATGGTGCCTAGACGAATTGGTGGAGATTTTGAAATGCAAAGAAGAGTTGGGACAAATTGTGATACCCATTTTCTACGACTTGGATCCTTTTCATGTCAGGAAGCAATTGGGAAAGTTTGGAGAAGCCTTTAAGAACACTTGCCTGAACAAAACAAAGAATGAGATACAACTATGGCGGCAAGCTTTAAACGATGTAGCAAATCTCCTTGGATATCATTCTCATACATGGTACTAGTCTTTGAATTGTTACTTATTTCGTATTTGTGAATATAAATGTTCCTACTTGATATATGTTGTTTCATGTTTGTTAGTAATAATGAACCAAAAATGATCGAGGACATCGTCAGTGATATATTTCATAAACTGAATGAAACTCCATCCAAGGATTTTGATAACTTTGTCGGCATCAACAATCATATCGCAGAGATGAATTTATTGTTGTGCTTGGAATATGAGGAAGCAAGGATGGTTGGGATATGGGGTCCCTCGGGAATTGGCAAGACTACTATTGCAAGAGCTTTATTTAATCTCCTCGCTCGTCACTTCCAAGGTAAAGCCTTCATAGACAGAGCTTTCGTATCGAAGAGTATAGAAGGTTATAGGAGAGCCAAAACCGGCGACCATAACATGAAGTTGAGTTTGCAAGGGAGTTTCTTATCTGAAATTCTTGGCAAAAACATAAAGATAGAACATTTAGGTGCGTTGAGAGAAAGACTAAAGCACCGGAAAGTTCTTATCATCATCGATGATTTAGATGATCTTGTGGTGCTAGAAGCCTTGGCGGGTCAAACTCAATGGTTTGGAAGTGGGAGCAGAATTATTGTGGTTACAAAAGATAAGCATCTTTTAGAGGCCCATGGGATTGATCATATTTACAAGGTTGGTTTCCCATCTGAAAAGCAAGCTCTTGAGATGTTCTGTCGATCAGCTTTTTCGCAAAACTCTCCGCCTGATGGTTTCATGGAGCTTGCTTCTGAAGTCGCAGCGTTTTCAGGTGGTCTTCCTTTGGGTCTTGTGATTCTAGGTAAGGTTGTGAAAGGGAGGAACAAGGAGGATTGGATAGACATGTTGCCAAGGCTTCGAAAAAGCCCGAACAGAGACATTGTGGAAACATTAAGATTCAGCTATGATGAGTTAGATAGCGAAGAAGATAAAGCGATACTTCGTCACATAGCATGTCTCTTCAACGGTGTGGATGTCAATAACATCAAGATGATGCTCTCAGACAGTGAGTTGGATGTGAATATAGGTCTTAAAAACCTAGCTGATAAGTCCCTAATAAATGTAGTACCATCATGGAATAATACGAATATCGTGGAGATGCATTGTTTGGTTCAAGAAATGGGTAGAGATGTTGTTCGTAAACAGTCCGACAAGCCTGGAAAACGAGAATTCCTTATGAACTCAAAGGATATTTGCGATGTACTTAGAGGTTGCACGGTAAGCTTTTTTTCTTTCTTTTTCCATAACTCCGTCTATGAGACTAAAAATTTCCCTGTTTTTAAGATAATGATTCTTGTATTTTTCAGGGTACTGAAAAGGTTTTAGGTATATCATTGGATATAGATGAGGTTAAAAAAGTGCGGATACATAAGAATGCCTTTGACGGGATGACTAATCTCCGATTTCTGAAATTCTACAAAAGTTCCTTGGAAAGGAAGAAAGGTTTTAGATGGGATCTACCCGAAAGATTCGATGATTTTCCCGATAAACTTAAGTTACTAAGTTGGCCAGGATATCCGATGAGATGCATGCTGTCTAATTTTTGTCCTGAGTATCTTGTTGAGCTAAGAATGCCCAACAGCAAGCTTGAGAAGCTATGGGAAGGAGTTGAGGTAAGTGTCGATATATTATCAAAAATTGTGGTCGGTTCATCTATTTGGAAGATTCTTACATTATACCCAAAACATTGACAAGAATTTAGAATGCTAGATTACTAACATGGGTTCTTGCACGACACTTTCTTTTGATGTGTAAGTTTATTTCATTGTCTATTTTGGTCAGCTGCTTACATGCCTAAAGCATATGGATTTTTCGGAGTCTGAAAACCTTTTGAGGGTAAAGCGTGGTCTAGAAATGATAAGGGTTCTATTTGAAGAGCTATTAGCCACTGAGTAAGTGTTCCTCTAGACTCTCATTTGTGAGTTTTGCGACATCTTTAATCGAGCCTTGCCATCTTCCATATGTGTCATTCCAAGTTTTTATATATTTCATTTAAATAACTGAAATTCTAAACTAATCTTTGAAATCTATACTCACCATGTGAATTCTGTACTGGTGTTGAGAGGCTCGTGGTCTAGTGGTTCCTTTGTGCTTGGGGGCCCTAGTTTCGAGCCCTATCAGTTAGGAATGGTGGCTGGATGGTAGGAAGACAACATTATTAGAATATGGACTTCCAACTCAAAATCAATTAACAATTAGGGGATGGCCTATATCTCTTATATACTGTCAGGAGGCGTAAATTCGCATTCGCTTAAAAATTAAAATGATCCTTATGGGTTAGTGGACTTTGGGCTTGTTTGGGGTTTATGTGCTCTCACTAGCATGGCATTGGGCTCGCCTCTCACTATTCTAGATGTTTAAGATGATATGCAGGTGCGCTCCTATGGGATAAGTCGATCCGTAGTTGTCAAAAAGAATGTGCATCCAGGGGAAAACGATTACTGTTCTAGACGAATAAGCCATAACCATTGAACTATCATCACTTGGTTATGCCCCTATATATTAACACAATATAAATGTGTTGCAATAATTCCATGCTAGCTAGCTGAGTACTTGTTGTAACTATTTTTTTTTGGGTCAATATCAAAAGATTTTAAATGTGTTTGAATATGATTTGTAGAGCTGATAGCTCCGTAAAGGATGCAGCATATAAAGCTTACAATCAGGTGTTTGGTCCGCACCATGGGTGGGCTATTCAGCTAGCTGCTTCTACAGGATTTGGCTCTCTTCTTCTCTCAAAGGCTGAACTATATCGAATATTCAATGAAACTGGTGAGTTAATTAACTTGTTGATACTTTCTGTTTTATTTTTCTTTTAGTAACTAAAATCAAATGCACAAGAAAATAGGATTAGCACACTAACTATACGAAATCTTTTATTTAAGCTAAAACAAAAGGGTTTTACCAGTCTAACCAGTGGACAACATAAATATAAGCAATGAAAGCATAAATGATTAAAATGACTAAAAACAAATAATAAGACTAAGCAAGTTCCAAAATCTCCAAGTGCATCTCCTAGCCTCCGAGTGACCTGAAAGCTTTCTAAACACACCAAAAAACACAAGAGACTAGCTAGGACTCCTAGAGACACCTAGGAAACTAAATGAGACTCTGATGCAGCGAGATATTTGGAATATCTAATATTATCATATTTTAATTAATTAATAATTATTGTTCTAGAATATTCTATGTTTTAGGGTTTTCGGGTTTTATTATAAATAGCCTTTTTAGGCCTCCTATTGTATTCAGTTGTTTTTGATTAATAAAATTAAAGAGCTTTTGATAAGCACTGAGAAGAGTATTCTCAAACGAAGTCTTTGAAGTCTTTGTTTATCGTGAATCCATTGATCTCCGATAACACTAGAATTCCGAGCTACGATTGTCTTGCTTGAGATCCATTGATACTCAAGATTACTTTCGTAATCTATCCCTAGAAGCTTCCGCTACGTCAGACTCAACGAAAGAGAAAAACTACCACAACAAGACCAAAGAGAGAGAAAAAATGAAGGGAAGAATACTAAAATAGAGTTAAAACAACATTAGATTTTGTTTATTTTTGTGTTTCTTGTTAGTGCTTTTCTTCAAAAGAACCAGTAATCAATTAGTGAGTTTATTGAATTCTTTCCGTAAACTTTTAAGAAGTAATACTGGTGTAAAACATCTATGTTTAACTTTATTATATAAATGTTCGAATTATTAAGATTGAAACATTTTTCATATGTAAACACAAAAAATGGCGTTTGAAACACAATTGAGGTTGTAGACAATCTGATTACAAAGTGTTAGACCGTCTGTTCCGATATCTATTTATTCTTCGATATGTTTTGGAAGGCTACTGACTATACATTATTTCGTTCGGGTATTTTAAAACTTTGGGTTCGGGTTCGGATTGGGTTTTTCAGGTCGGGTTCGGTTCGGTTCTTCGGGTTCGGGTATTATGCTCAGGCCTAGTAATTCGTTTGATTTCTATTGGCAAATGTTATAATAGACTTTTTCAATCTATTGCCATTCATAGACTTTTTCTAACTCAAGACTTTTTCTAGTGCCGTCTCAATCTATAGGAAGGCCCTTGGTAAAAACTAAAAAAAATTAAAATCTCTTATTATAAAAAAAATTTCTAAAAATTGAACTCTTTTTCTTCACTAAAATTTTTGAAAGTGGCTTTGGACCTATAGCAAATGGATATGTTGCCATGTGGTAGAGGCCCGGGCCTAAGCACTACACTAGTTCTTCTAGAAGGTCTCTGCATGTGAACATTGATTGGAGTTGACTTGGAGTTGACGGTAACGATAAAGAAGTGGGAACCCAAATGACCCATCTGTCTTTTTCTCAATTTATGTCTCTTTCTCTTCGTCTATGTTTTATTGCTTCTCATAGAGTGAAATTGTTTTCCTGTTTGCTGAAAAATCTTTTCCTTCAGAAAAAAAAAAAAAAAAAAAAATTCTAAAGACCCTCTCTTGAACCCTCTTTGTTTCTATTAGCTTAGGCTTTCCTCACATCGAAGAAGACGAGGAGACATTCAGATCCTTGATTTACAAGAAATTGTGTTGTTTTTGTTTCTCTATCTCTATGTCTTCTTCTCGCAATTGGGACTATGACGTCTTCCCGAGCTTTAGAGGAGCAGATGTCCGCAAAACATTCCTCAGTCACTTTCTTAAGGAGCTGGATCTCAAGTCCATCAAACCGTTCAAAGACAGTGAGATCGAAAGAAGCCACTCGATCGCACCAGAGCTTATACAGGCGATTAGGGGCTCAAGAATTGCAGTGGTAGTGTTCTCCGAAAACTACGCTACTTCCAAATGGTGCCTAGACGAATTGGTGGAGATTTTGAAATGCAAAGAAGAGTTGGGACAAATTGTGATACCTATTTTCTACGCCTTGGATCCTTTTCATGTCAGGAAGCAATTGGGAAAGTTTGGAGAAGCCTTTAAGAAAACTTGCCTGAACAAAACAGAGGATGAGAGACAACTATGGCGGCAAGCTTTAACCGATGTAGCAAATCTCCTTGGATATCATTCTCATACTTGGTACTAGTCTTTGAATTGTTACTTTTTTCGTATTTGTGAATATAAACGTTCCTACTTGACATTAATTTGACTATATATATTGTTTCATGTTTGTTAGTAATAGTGAAGCAAAAATGATCGAGGACATCGTCAGTGATATATTTCATAAACTGAATGAAACTCCATCGAAGGATTTTGATAACTTTGTCGGCATCAACAATCATATCGCAGAGATGAATTTATTGTTGTGCTTGGAATCTGAGGAAGCAAGGATGGTTGGGATATGGGGTCCCTCGGGAATTGGCAAGACTACTATTGCAAGAGCTTTATTTAATCTCCTCTCTCGTCACTTCCAAGGTAAAGCCTTCATAGACAGAGCTTTCGTATCGAAGAGTATAGAAGGTTATAGGGGAGCCAAAACCGGCGACCATAACATGAAGTTGAGTTTGCAAGGGAGTTTCTTATCTGAAATTCTTGGCAAAAACATAAAGATAGAACATTTAGGTGCATTGAGAGAAAGACTAAAGCACCGGAAAGTTCTTATCATTATCGATGATTTAGATGATCTAGTGGTGCTAGAAGCCTTGGCGGGGCAAACTCAATGGTTTGGAAGTGGGAGCAGAATTATTGTGGTTACAAAAGATAAGCGTCTTTTAGAGGCCCATGGGGTTCATCATATTTACAAGGTTTGTTTCCCATCTGAAAAGCAAGCTCTTGAGATGTTCTGTCGATCAGCTTTTACGCAAAGTTCTCCGCCTGATGGTTTCATGGAGCTCGCTTCTGAAGTTGCAGCGTGTTCAGGTCGTCTTCCTTTGGGTCTTGTGATTCTAGGTAAGGTTATGAAAGGGAGGAACAAGGAGGATTGGATAGACATGTTGCCAAGGCTTCGAAAAAGTCCGAACAGAGACATTGTAGAAACCTTAAGATTCCGTTATGATGAGTTCGATAGCGAAGAAGATAAAGCGATACTTC